GCTGGCGGAGAGCCCCGCCGCTCCCCGGGGCCCCGCCGCGGCCCCGCCACCTGCGCCGGGGGCCCCGCGCGATGCCCAGCCCGAGGAGAGTGCGGCCGCCGCAGGGGGAAGCCCTGCCCGCAGCCCGCTGGCCCCCGCGGGGCCGGGGGAGGCCGCTCCCCCCATGGCTGGCACGGCCGCTCCGAGCCCCGGCCCCCCCGGCGAGCCCGGCGCAGACGGAGCCCAGCCCGCACCGGAGCCCGCCGAGACACCCGCGGAGGCCGTGCCCGAGAGCGGCTCCGGTGCCGCCGGTGACGCCGAGCGGACACCGGACAAGACCTTCTCCAGCAGCAGCTTCCCCAGCGTGGATGAGGGCAGCGACGAGGACACGGCCGAGCTGACCTCCGGCGTCTTCACCGACTTCTCCGGGGAGTACACGGAGCGGGCGGAGGCGGCGCCGGCGCTCAGGTCCCTGCAGAAGCAGGTGGGCACGCCGGACTCGCTGGAGTCGCTGGACATCCCCTCCACCGCCAGCTCCTGCGAGGTGCTCAGCCCCGGAGCCTTCGCGCCCGCCGGCCAAGCCCGGGCCCTGGACAGCGGCTACGACACCGAGAACAACGAGTCCCCCGAGTTCGTCCTTAAGGAGCCCCACGAGCCCCGAGAGCCCGAGGCCTTCAGCCAGCTGGGAAAGCCGCCCCCGGGGCTGCCGGGGGGCGAGGGCGAGGCTGCGGCCCCTGAAACGCGGCTGCCCAGTGCAGAACTGCCCGGCCTGGCCGAGAAGAGCCCCTATCGCGACTCTGCCTATTTCTCCGACTGCGACGCCGAGGCCGAGCGCGGGCACAAGGACGAGGGGGACAGCGATGGGTCCCGCACCCCGGAGGCGGAGGAGGGTCCCCGCTCCCCTGCGCAGGACATGGGGCGAGGAGAGGACCCGCTGCACCCGCCGGGGGCACCCGGCAGCCCCCCGGCAGCGCCTGGCGTGGCGGTGGCGGTGCCCGCGCCAGCGGCGGTGGCTTTGGAGGGGGACTGGGTGGGGACAGAGGCCGAGAGCTCACCGGAGCAGGCACCTGGCACCGAGCAGAGCCCCGCTGGCACGGGGCTGGTGCCGGGCAGCCCCCCGCGCCCTGACACAGACACCTGTCCCCCGGGCTCTGTGACCCCCAAGACTTTCCTCTTGACCCCGGTGCCAGTGAGCCCTGGGGAGCCATCAGCTGCTGGAGGGACCTGCGTGCCCGAGGGCGTCCCTGGACACGGGGGAGCCACAGGGGGGGACAAACAGACTGTGACCCCCGCGCTCGGGGAGCTGGGGCTGCCCCTGGAGGGGACTGGGGCGGGCGATGCGCCGGGGGGTCCCAGCACGCTGCTCCCTGGGGGAGAGTCACCCCCGGGGCTCTCCCCACCCCCGGCTGCCCCCGAGCGCCGCGAGGAGCCGGAGGAGGAGGAGGAGGACACGGAAGACAGCGACGAGTCGGATGAGGAGCTGCGCTGCTACAACATCCAGGAGCAGAGCGAGGAGAGCGAGGAGGAGCCGGCGGCCGTGCCCATCGTGGTGGCCGAGAGCCAGAGCGGCCGGAACCTGCGCAGCCTCCTCAAGATGCCCAGCCTGCTGTCCGAGTCCTTCTGCGAGGACCTGGAGCGCAAGAAAAAGGCCGTGTCCTTCTACGACGACGTGACCATCTACCTCTTCGACCAGGTGGGTGCCCTGGGGGACACCAGAGCTGGGTGCTGGGCACGGTTTCACTGCCTTTTGGTGGTGGGAGCCATCTCCAGCCGTGCCCCCAGTGAGGTTCCTTCCTGCTGTTTTCTCATCCCCAGGAAAGCCCCACGCGGGAGCTGGCTGAGCAGAGCTTCCCGGAGCCCACCCTGCCTTCGGGGCAGCCCCCCTCGCCTTCGGGGCAGCCCCCCGCCAGTGGCAGCCCCCCCAGCCCCACCGACAGGCTCGGAGCCTCTGACGACTCCTCGGACGGCAACGCCTCGGAGGAGAGTAAGAGAGCAGGAGTTTAATGGGACCCGTCACTGTGGGGTGGTGGGAGGGCAGCGCTTATGGGGAGGCAGTTATGGGGTGATGGGGTCAGAGGTTATGGGGTCATGGGTCAGAGGTTATGGGGTGATGGGGTCAGAGGTTATGGTGGAACCCTCACCGAGGGCTCAGCCCCCTCACTTTGTATCCCAGGCGGTGGCTTCGAGTGGGACGATGACTTCCCACTGATGCCAGTGAAGCCGTCCCTGGTGGCCTCGCTGCCAGGGACACCAGCAGAGCCCCCCGCGGCCGTGCCCGCCCTGGTGCCAGCGCAGAAACAGGTGCTGCCCATCCAGTTCTCCCGGTTCACGGTGTCACCTGCCCCGGTGTCCCGGTTCTCCATCACCCACGTCTCCGACTCGGACATGGACTCCATAGGAGGTGAGTCCCCCCCGGGGCCTGCTCTGTGGGTGCCCCTGCCGTGTCCCGGTGCCACCCGCACTGTGAGCCATGGGGACGCTCGCTGGTGTCCCATGAGGGACCAGGACCCTCTGATGTCTCTCTGGGCTCCTTGCAGGCAGCAGCGAGGACGGTGACCGGGAGTGAGCCCGCCGGGACACAGCCGGCATTGCCCCGGCACCGGGGCGGCGCAGGACGGCGCGGGGGCCGCCCGTGGGCTCCCACACCCCGCTGGGCAGATTTTTTTTAGGCAGATTTTTATCGGAAGGAACTCGTTTGCTGCTTGGAGTGGGAGCGGGGCCGGCGCGGCCCCCGCGGGGCCAGGCGGTGGGTGACGGTGACACCGTGTGCGTGTGGCTGTGAGCGTGCGTGTAAAATAGACACTTATATATATATATATATACATATATATATATAAATTATAGCGTTTCGAGGGTAGTGCCCTGACCTTGCTAACATTTGCCGAGTGTCCTCCCCAGTGAAGTTCCCCCTTGGCTTCTTGCCCACGTGTGCTCCCCGAGGCGGTTTTTCCCCACACCCCTTCTCCCCCTCCCGGGCTGTCCCCTCCCCTGTGCTGTGTGCTCAGTCTTGCACCTTGTGGCAGCTTGGCTGTCCCACAGCGGCCCCACGGCTGCCCCAGAGGCACTCCACGACATTCCTGACCGAGGGGCCACTGGCTGCTGCCACTCTGGATGTCACTCCCCGTGCCAGGGGTGTCACCGGCTGCCCAGAGTGGTCCCCATGGCTTTGGAGCTCCCCTCCCTTGGTTTGCAGGGATCAGTCCCAGCTGGGGACCCTGAGGACTGCTGGCACCCTTGCCCATTGTAGCGGGGAGCAGCACGTGGGGGGCTGGTTGTGGGGGGCATATCCCTCACCGGGACCTGCCAACCTATTTTTGTATTTAAACAAAATTATTAAAAACCCCAACCCCAAACCCACCCCAAAACCAAAACTTGCTGTTGACTGAACCCACATTGATGCGATTTTAAGTTATTGCTGCCAAAGAGACGTATTGGGGAGGGGGGGGAGGGGGGCGCGCTCGTGGTTCTTTGTTCTGTTTTTTTTTCTTTTTTTTTTCTTTTTTTTTTGTCTGTTTCTTTGTTCTTTTGGTTTTTTTTTTAAATTCATTCGAGGCTTAGGATAATTGTGCAATTCCAGCTTCCGGAAGGAAATAGAAGTAAGCGGAGCTGAGCGAAACCTTGAATTCAGGGCTGGTTCCTTTTGGGGTCTATAGACCAAACCCTGAGGTGAGAAATGTCCCCCCTGAGCCCCCCCGCCCCTGTCCTGGCTCCTGTGCAGGGGGATGAGGGCACACGGGTGTCCCCGTGCAGGGACACTGCACAGACAGCAGGGATGGGGCTGCTGCCAGGGGTTCTGCTCCATGCCACAGGGTGATCCCACCTGGGCTGGACACAGCTCTGGCACCAGGACCCATGGGATGTGCCCGTCCCCAGCCCAGCCTGGCACTGCCATGGGTCCCAGCCTGGCAGAGGTGTCCCCATACTCACCACCCTTCTCCTAGCTCTCCCAGCCCAGCCTGGAGCTGTGTCCCAGTGCTCAGGAGGCTCTTGTGGGGACCAGGGACTGTTCTCCAGTCCAGGTCACAGCCAGGGCCTTGGGGGATCCCAACTTCAGCCCCCCCATACCCCCACTGCTGGTTCCTCCCCCTACTGAGCAATTAGTGCTTATTTAAGTGTTTTATTTAAGCCCTCACCTGGCCTGTAACCCCCCACCCCAATTTTCCCGAGCTTTTTCCTTCACAACAGAGGAGCCACCCCCTGCACTGACCGGGGGTGCAGCACCCAGGGGTGCTGCCCATGCAGGACTGGGATGCTCCTGGGATTCCTTTCCCGCAGCACCCACCCTCCTACCCCCTGATCCCCCCTTCTCTGCAGCCCCCAACACCACGGGGGGTTTTCTCAGCCCTCACACCCAGGGGTGCTGGCTCAGCCCCCACCCCACACCCCAGGTTTGGTCTATGGCGCCGCAGGTCCCGGCTCCGGAGGGTGGATGAGGACAGAGCTGTGGCTTGGGTAACTTTTTTTAATAGAAAGGCTCTTCTTACATGGTCTATTTTCTCAATACGGGTCATAATTGCTGTATTTTTTATCAGTGCTGATTTCCATACAGCTCCCAGCATGTGTGTCAAATCTCATCGGGCCAATAATAAAGTTTTTAAAATATCTTAAGCCGTTTCCTGCCCCGATCATTGCCCAGCACCCAGGATGGAGCCAGCTCGGGAGGGCAAACCCCTCTCCAGGGCCAGGCAGGAGCCTCTGGCCAGGGACAGCCCTGCAGGAGGGAGGGCTGGGGGAGGTTGAATTGCTCATAAATTACGTTTTCTCACACAAAATTATTTCAGGTTACGTCTTCCAGGTGCCACCGAGCCAGGAGGTGCAGCGAAGCCCCCGGGGGCTGGCTGGAGCCAGGGTGGCAGCCTGGGGGGCCCAGGGGACAGCCCCTGGCACGGGGGTGGAAGAGGACACCGCAGTGGCCGAGGGGACCCCAGGCCTGTCCCCACCCCGGGCTGTGGCCACCAGCCCTGTCCCACCCAGTGCCCCAGCACAGCCCTTTCCCTCCCCCCTGCCCTGTCTGACCCCCACCCATCTGCTGCAGCCCTGGGAGAGGAAGAGGAGGCACATCATGGAGCTGGGAGCCCTGGTGCAGAGCTGGAGCCTGGGTGGTCACAGGAGAAGCTGTTTTCCTGCAGTGGAGCTGGAAAACCCATCCGAGGGGACACAGGAGAGATGAGCCACCACATCTGACTGGGACTGAGCCCCCTGGGCTGGGGACACTCTGTGCCCAGCCAAGCACCCACTGCCCGGGCTGTGGGGACCAGGACATGCTGCACCAGTGATCAGAAAGTGCAAAAAAGGAGAAATACAACGGAAAAAGCAAAAACTCTGCTCGGGTTCAACCCCTCAGCCGTGGGAGACACAGTTCCTGCCTGGAAACTTTCTTCTCCCTGTTTTTGGAGCAAGGATGTGACCCTGGTCACTCAGAAGCTGCGGGAAGGGCTGTGGGAGCCACCTGGCTCGTGGGCACCCCCAGCAATAAGCTTAGCAAGTGTGTGTATATATATTTATATATATTTTATCTCTATCTATCTCTCTCTCTCATGCAGCCCTAGGAATAGAGGAAGAGCAAACAGCCAAGCAAGAGGTCCGGATGGGAGCTCCTGTCTGCAGGGAGCAGGGGCACCCCAAGGCTCACTCACACACTGCCCTGGCCTCCACAAGTGTTTTTTTTTCCTAGCTTATATTTTACAGCAGTACCGTAATTCCCTGCAATATCCTGGTGCAGCAGGAGCTCTGGGACTGGAGCTGACCCCGTCCCAGTGGGGGCTGCACCCACTGCCCTGTCCCAGCCCGGAGCACGGGGTGGCCACCCGGGCTCTGGTGGGAGCTGCCTGTGGCTGCCACCATCCCTTGGGATGTCCCAGTGTCCTGCCTGGCCTGGTCTGGGCAGGGAGAGCAGGGGGACAGTGACCTCTCTGCCACTGCTGGAGCACTGTGAGCCCATGGAGAGTTGTTCTCCAGCTGAGCCCGTTTCTCCACCCACAGCAGCTGCTGCTGGGCCTGGGAGCCATCCCAGCTCTGGGACATGCTGCCCTGACTTTGGGAAGTGCCACCACGCTCGTTAGCACAGGCCAAGGACAGGTGACATTGGCAGCACCGTGACCCTCTGCCACCGAGGGAGTCTAGAGAAGAGAGAACTAGGGCACTAGCTTGAGCCTTTGGCTTTCAAAGCAGCAGGATTAATAAATTCCGCCTAAAAATGGAGTCCTGGGAAGCTGGACATGCAGCGGCGAGGATGAGGAGGAGGAGGAGGAGGTGGCGAGTGCCAGGCGGGCGCCAGCGCTCCCGGATCAGCTGATGAGCGGGGCCGAGCGGTCGTTTGTCACCGTTGGCTTCAGCTGGACGTTGGCAAAGGGGTTCCTGTGGAGGAAGAGGAAGAGGAAGGAAGAGTTAACAGGGGGTGGAGGCCCGGAGAGGACGGGCACCGGCACAGCGAGCGGCGACGGGCGACACCACGGGACCAGCAGCGTTTGGGAAGGGGTTAAACTGGAAAAGCTCAGCTTTGTGAGCCCCAGGCCGAGCTGCCCCCGCTGCCTGAGCTGCCCCCGGTTCTCATCTCCTGTCCCAGCTAAGCCATGGTGGGTCAGGGATGAGCTGAGTGCAGGGGGATGTTCTGTTCTCCTCCCTGGCTCTCCTTCAGCCTAAAGCTGGGGATGCCACCGGGGGCCAGTGAAGCTGCTCCAGCCTCCTCCAAGGCTGGACTCAAACAGCTCCCACAGCCAGGAGCACTGCAGGATCAGCCAGCCCTGGAGCACGGGGTTATGGCTTCACCTCCTGGCCAAGGGCAGAGCTGGCAGCTCCTGCAGAGCCCTTGTGCTGCCTCTGCAGAAGTTCATATCCGAGAGGAAGAGTGTGGGAGGCTGAGGACACCTGCGTGAGCTTGTCACAGTCCAAAGCCCAGACAGACTGACCTTGGGGTTCCACCTACCTGGGGTGTCCCCAGCACCCTCCTGCTGCCCTTGTCACTCGGCCAGGACAGGGGACAAGGACTGCCTTGGCACAGGGAGCATCCTTACCCCTTCTCTAGGAGGTGCCCTCTGTCCTCTCCCAGCAGGAGTTAATTCCTGGGGGGTGTGGGCAGCTCTGGGGGTCCCTCTGCCTGCCTGGAGAGCCACCAAGCACCCCCTGTCCTCCCTGCAGCCCCTCTGTCTCATCTGCCCACTGCCCCAGCCCTCCCCAGGGGTCCACACAAAATCCTGTCCCCAGTGGAAGCAGGTCAGGTCCCACAGGCTGGTCGCCCACCGTGGGGGCACAGCCCTGCTCCCCTGACGTGGGTTCAGGTAAAGTGCTGTGATTACCGTGTGCACCTGGACCGAGCAGCTTTGAGGCGTCCTCAGAAGCTTTGGGATGTCCCCAAAAGTTTAGGGGTGTCCCCAGAAGCTTTGGGATGTCCCCAGCCATCTCCCAGAGCAGAAAGGAAGATGCTGGGACATCCACCCCCCTGGGACAGGCACTCATTGTCAGCCCCAGGCCCCCTCTCTGCCATCCCTCACCTCTCCACGTTCGCCTTTTCTTTCCTTAAAAGATAAATTACTTTTGCTTAAAAATAGGGTAATTAATTTCACACCCAATTAATGCAGATGCTTAGATCATTTTCCCTCCCAGGATGCCAAAATAGATTCTCAGGACTGGAGGGAGAGGAAAAGTTGCTTTGATGAGTCACCCGGGGCTCATTTAACTATTTCTGTACTGGCAGAGAAGAGGAGCCACTGGGCTGGAGCCTGCAGCTCCAGGGAAAGCAGCTCATGGATCAAAGAGAAACGGGGAAGGGGCTCTCCAGGCTCTGCAGTGCCAGCGAGGAGGGTCTCGACTCCTGGGGAGGCTCCTGCATCCCGTCCCTGGGGCCAGGACCAGGAGGCTCCTGGGACGAGTCTACAACAAAAAAAAAAGCTGCTCAAAAAACTTGCGGTTAGTGCGGACGTGCCCGGCCCCGCTGGAGAGGGCCGGGGACAGCGGCGACACCGGACAGGACACCTGCGACCAAAGAGGGCGGCGGGGGAAGCGCAGGAGCAGCTCAGCATCCCGGCAAGCGCGGCCGCGGCAGCGGGGCGAGCAGCAGAGGCAGCCGGCGAGCCCCGGGGCTGTCGGCACAGGGTCGGGGACAAGCGGTGACGGAGGGAGGGGACACGCTGGGGTTGGTGCAGCGGGAAGCAGAGCGGTGGCACCGTCCCCGCGCAGCCCCGCGGCGTCACCCGCTGCCCAGCGCACCCGCGACAATGTCACTTACTAACTACGGGCAGGGGGCACCTCAAAACCTGGCCACTTCAACATCGGGGCTGCAAGGGAAACAGAAGGCAGGTTGGAGGACACCGGGACGCTTGATGGGAACAGAAGGTCGTGGTTAAGGAGAGACTTAAGGCCACGAGCCGGTGGCCACCCGGCCCCAGAGCCCCGCTGGCCACCCCGCACGCAGCGCCGGCGGGGGGCGGAGGAAACAGGAGGAAGAAAAGAAGAAAAAGGAGGAAAAGTGATGTTTATTGAGTCGCTGGTGCTGTGAGGACGGGAAGGAAGGGCACGGCCAGCCGGGAGCTGTGGGACGGCAGCGGCCGGGCACGGCGGGGGCTGCGGAAGGGAGGGGGCGGCTTCCTTCCCCCCCGTGCCGCTTTCCCAGCGCCGGGAAAGCGCAGCCGGAGCCTTGGCATGCGGGAGCAGGAGCGGCATCACCCCCTCGGATGCTCGGGGTGACGGGACCCGGCCCTAAAGCAGCTGTCGCTGCTCCCGCTCAGCGAAGCTGTTTAGTGCCGGCGGGACGAGCACGTCCCCAGGGATGGAGCAGGGAACAAAAACACGGCCTGGGAATGCGCGGGGGGCGATGCAGGCGGTGAGGGCAGCACGCAGGCACGGCAGCCGAAAAAGACACCGAGGCCCAGCTCAATGCAATAAATAAAACTTTTATTCAAACAATAACTCAGTACAGGGCACAATTCTCTCTGGCTTTTAAAAAAAGGTTTCTCAGCACTTTACAATCTCCACACAGGCTTTGCTAGGCTGGGTTTGTGGTTCGGTTTTTGTTTTTTTTTTTTGTTTTGTTTTTCCCTCTACATTCAGTCATTCATCATGAAATATCCTGGGTTAAAAATCCTTAGCAAAATTCGGACATCGATGCAGGAGGGGCTCAGAACAGTGTGCCCGTAGGCGAGGAGATAACCCAAAAACTGGTCCGGGGTGGGGAGGTGGGGGGGTCTATTGCCAGCAATGTCCCAGTAAACAGGCAACGTCAGAGGTCTTAAAAATCACATCAGAAAAAAGCGTGAACAGCTTTGCAGTGGAGACGGCCACGGGCACTGGGAGGGCTGCGGCCGGGCTAGTGCGGGAGGGGGACCCCCAGAGAGGGGTGGGGACCCCCCGGGCACTGCCGAGCCCCCCACGGGGGCTGCCTCGCCCAAGCCTGGTTTGGGGATGCGAGCAATCCTCGGAACCCCAGCCCTAACGTGAGGTAACAATACCTTGCTACAAAAAATATATATATATATATATTTATAAAACAACCAGGAGTAACCCTTCCGGGGGGGTTCCCGCGGGTGCCGGGACCCCAGCCCAGAAGCAGCCCTTTCCCCGGGGCGGGAGCTCTGTGCCATCCGCTTCTCCCAAAGCCACCACAGTGGGATGGAAGCGGATCGGGCCGAGGGGGAGGCGCGGGGACGCTGCCCCTCCCTCCGGGAATGGCATCCCGGGCGCGGGCATCCCGGATGCTCAGTAACAGTACGGACACCAGAGGCCATGCATATGTGATCCAGTCTGGGAGTTTGGTCCAGGCTCGTGCGGGGCGGCCGGCGCGGCCCCTGGGGGGGGGGACAGGGCATCGCTAACATCACACGGGAGGACAAACACCGGGTCCCACTAAGTGACAACTGCACACCTGGGCTGCGAGCACAGACCTGGCAGCAGTTTCTGCTCCAAAAAGGCTTCAGAAACAAGGGCACTGTGAACACCAGGGAGGGGTGAGAAGCACCATGGTTTCCTTGAAGATCACAAGAGTTTCAAATCCAAAAAGAAGTAGAGAAAGAGAAACGAAAGGGAAGGAGAAAAAAAAAAGGGAGGGGAAAGAAGCAGAAAGCTCTTCCAAGCAGCAAGGGGCCGCTGCGAGCCCAGGTGTCCTCACACCGTGGATACCAAACTGCCACTGCCGCTGCGGAACAAAGCACAGAGATGCCAGAGTGGCCGCGGGGCAGCACCGAGCCGAGCCCACACCCCTCCCGGACCCAGCACGGACGGACGGCGAGCTCTACCCAGCCACACTTAGCCAAGGAGCGAGACGGGGCAGCTCCGAGGCAGAGGGGATGGAGAAGGCGCCGGGGAAAGACCCCGGAGCTCTCCGTGGCTTCCCCGTGCAGGTGTGAGCCCGGGAGACGCGACTCTCTGGAGGAGCACGAGGGTGGGGACACCAGGCTGGCCCTGGGACCTGCCCTCCCGGGTCCCCCCACTGTCACAGGTGAGACCTGGCCCCACCCCAGGCACTGCCAGTCCCATGCAGGGACCCCTGTGGGGACACAGCCCCACGGCTTCGCCCACAGCCAACGCCAACAGCTCGCAGGGAACGAATGTGACAGGAAGGTGACATCTTACCTGCTGACAGACCTCGTCCCGTAGTCATCCAGGCCCTGTGGAGAGGAGGGGAGGAAGCACAGTGAGGGATGTGTGGGCTGTGCCTGCTCAGGTGCCACCAGAGGGTCACATGAACGAACCAAAGTGCATCAGGACCTAGGGCCAAGAGCTGATGCATTTGGAGAGGAAAGGGAGAGATGGAGGTGATGGGAGTGGGATTCACTCAGCAGGGAGTGAAGTCGCACCACTCTCTGTAGAATTTATCTGGCCAGACATGGAAAAGCAACTGCTGGGAGAGCCCTGCTCTGCTCTGCTCTGCTCTGCCCAGCCCCTCCAAGGAACAGAGCTCTGGCTGCTGCTGAGATGCTGAGACTGTTGCAAAGGGGCTGCACGACTGAGAGACACCAGTGAAATGCTCTGTGGAAAGAGGGGTTGCCTGTATTCACTCCCACCAGAAACCCACAGGGTTTTGGACCATTTTCTCCTTTAGCCGGTGCTGAGCAGGCTCTGCAGGGAGGGACCGAGGGGCAGACGGGGACCAGGCCTGGAGAACATCCCTCAAGGGCCTCCCTCCTTGAGCAAGGGCCTGCCCTGGGATACGGCTGGAGCAGCTCTGCTCCCCATGGCAGCGCTCCAGGAAAGAGGGGGAGCCTCTGGCCTTTGAGCTGGAGCCCCACAGCCACCAGAGACACAATTCCCACCTTCCCAGGAATGCTCCCAGTCACAAAATACCAACCCCAGCAGCAAATCCTGCTGGAACACCCCAGCAAAACAGCAAGAAGTGGGGCTGTGCTTCCACCCCAGTCCCTGCAGAGAGGACCAGATCCCAACTGAGGTGCCCTGTCGAAGGTCAGTGCTGTCTCCCTCCTCATCCTCTCCCCATCTGCCAGCCCGTGATGCCAGCGTGGCTCATCCCACTGTGCTTGTCCTGGTGGGAGAGCTCCACTGCACCTGTAGCTCCTGGGTTAGGCTGATCCCATCTGCTCGTGCATCCTCCCTGGCTTGGTATCCAAGAAGCCCTGGGCTTGCTTTGGACACTCTGGAATCCTGTCCAGGATCTGCCCCAGTGTCCCCACGGGATTGTCACCGGCTTCAATTGGCACATGCCAGAGAAAACACTTCCAGCTGCCTGTGAGCTGCCTGTTTCTGGTGGGAGACTCCCATGGAGTCAGCAAGTGTTGTCCTTTGGGGGTTTACGGGGCCGTTTTGTGCCACTGCCCCCCGTGCCTTGCCCGTTCCTCCCCATCCATGGGCTCCCTGCACCCCTTCACCCCAGGAGAGGTGCTCAGCAGGAGCAGGGGCCAGGCAAGGCACGTGGATCACCAGGCACACAAAACAGCCAAATTTCCATAAATCCCAAGGGAAACATTGCAAGCGTCGGACTTACAGCTGTCGACCTAGTGTAAGGCTTGTAGTGAGCGGAGGGTGCTTGGCAGAGGCCACTGGAATAGTCTTTAATTGCACACCCATAGGGCATTAGGTAGTCCTAAAACAACAACAGAGGTTGGAGAGCCACCCTCGGCACCCCCACACATCCACAGCACGCCGGGATCGGGAACGCTCCCACTCATCCCATCCCAGGACAGGGGCTGCTCCAGCATCCCCCACTCCTCAAACATCCCCCCAGAGTGGGAGAAGCCACGGGAGAAGCTCACCTGGGAGAAGGCAGGCACGGCCACGCTGTAGGGCCGCTGCTTGAAGGTGTTGGTGCCCTGTGCTGGGAAGGCCTGGGAGGCCATGCCATAGTCTGGTGGCGGGATGGAGATGTCATCCTTGTCCAGGAGGTTGCCGGTGCTGCTGCTTTTCCCTTGCTGCAGGCTGGGGGGCCCAGAGCAGAGGTGTTAGCTCCATGTATGCTGGGAGCTGCCCATCCCTGCCAGCAGTGACAGCCCAGCCAAGGACAACTTGCCGAGGACAGCGGTGACACCGGCCTGGGCTCGTCCCCCCGGCTTTGCTCAGAAGGGCAGGAGAGCTTCCAGCACAGAGATACTTACTCCTACAAAAGGTGCCAGCTCCGGGGGGACAGGGAGAGGATTGGCACCCAGGGATGGGGTCAGAGACTCCCAGGCCACCCATCCACTCATGGCAAAAGCCACCCAGAACCAGGACCTCCCCCCTGTGCTGTTATTCCTAACAAGGAATTCCTAATTCCCATCCCAAGGACACAGACTCGCTGTCACCACACCCATGCTCCTACCTGGTGTGGACCCGCTCGCTGCCATCATTGTCAAGGACCCGTGTGTAGGAGAAAGGAAACCAGCCCCTCCTGAAAGGCAAAGGCAGGGATGAAGTTCGGTGTTGAGGTTTGATGACAAACCAAACCCAGGCTTGTGCACGGAGGATCCAGATGAGCACACCCAGCACACTCACATTTTGGTTTTCTCGCTCTCTCCGTAGTGCCAGCCGTCCCTGGCCTCGGGCACCAGCAGTGTGATGAGATCTCCCTCCTTGAAGCTCAGGAGGGTGCTGTTATCCCCGGCAGCGTGTGAGAAAATCGCCTGCACCCTCGTCCGGCCGTTCCTTTCGAGCCCGGCTGCCATGGAGCTGGAGCGTGGCAGTGTCTTGTTTTCAGCTGGGGGAACAGAGACTGCTGGGTGCCCCGAATCCTTCACCCCAAGGCCATCCCCAGGCACAGGACAGGCCCCCCACCTCCCCTTCTTTCAGCCCAGGTTGCACTAAAACCTTCAGTGTGACTCACACCTTCCCCCTCAAACAGCAGGACCAGACTCTCGGCATCACCCACCAGCCACGGCAAAGGGAGCAGCTCCCTGTGCCAGACTCCACAAGGTTTTCCTCCTGGAAATCCTGTGAAACCCCAGGGCAGAGCCCAGCTCCAGCATTTCCTGACACCAAGAGGCACGAGCAGCACTGGACACCGAGGGGATGCTGTTGGTCACTGTCCCCCCACAGCAGCACCCCAATCACCATCCCCACCCTGTCCCCCAGACCCCTCCTGTGTCAGACCCAGCTCCAGGCTCCCCAGAGCGGGGCTGGGGCCTCACCTGAGGCGTAGCTGTTTTTCGGTGTCACGTTTTTGCGAACTGGGAGTGTATTGGAGTAAGAGTCACTCAGCTGCTTCTGAGGCTGGGGAGGAGATAAAGATTTGGGCTGTGCTGGCTTCATCTCAGACCAGTGGTTGTACCCGTCGCTGTCAGAGCCTGACACTCCGTTCATCACTGGCATGGCCTCCTGTGCTGACATGCGCTGCGAGAGAGGAGGGGAGGGGGACAGGGGGTGGCTTCATTAGGGCTTCATCCCCCTGCAGCTCCAGGGACACCCCCTGCAGCTCCCCAGTGGGACACAGCTCCAGGGAGAGGCAAATCAGAGCTTTGTCCTTTAAGGTTTAGCTCCCACCCACACCAAACCGCTCTGGGGGGAGCAGTGGGGTCACCTCTGTGGTGTTTTACTGCTCTGAGCTGTCAATTCCCTGCTGAGCTCCACTGCTCAGCTCGTGCCCCCACATCAGGGGGACACCCTCTTCTGAAGGGTCCTTCATCCCACGGGTCACTCCAGGCCTTTCTCCCGCAGTTACTGGGGTACCTGGGCTCAGTCCCACAGCTCAGGGACCAGCCTGGACAGGTTGGTCCAGTTTGTGGGTTCCCCAAACAGCCCCTGGGAGCCCCAGGGCTCAGTGACTCCAGCAGGCTGAGTTGGGACAGGTGCCCGTCCCCACATGCCAGGATGGCACAGCACGGAGCTGCCATCCCTGCCAGCAGTGACAGCCCAGCCAAGGACAACTTGCCGAGGACAGCGGTGACACCGGCCTGGGCTCGTCCCTCCGGCTTTGCTCAGAAGGGCAGGAGAGCTTCCAGCACAGAGATACTTACTCCTACAAAAGGTGCCAGCTCCGGGGGGACAGGGAGAGGTTTGGCACCAGGGATGGGGTCAGAGATGATGAGGTTGGACTTGGATGTGGACAGAGGGCTGGGCATTATGGTGCCATTGCTGCTGGCAGCCATCTGCTGCATCAGCTGGATGGCGCGCTCCGGGATCTTGTTGGGATCCGAGCAGGATTGCTGCCACAGCGGCAGCTTCTGTGTCAGCATCTCCTTCCCCTGCAGGAGGAAAATGAGGTGTGAGGGCACAGGGGTGCAGGTGGTCTGCCCCCCCAGCCCGGGCAGCACCACACGGATCCAGGGCTGAGCTGGCCTGGGGTTGATCGGTGGCATGGCACAGATAACACACAGGGACATCCTGCTTCCAGCAGAGCCAGGGAGGTGTCATGAAAAATGGGAATGAGGGAAGGAAAAGGTAATCCATCTCCTCAGTTTATTCCAAGATATCCCGTGTGCAGCATCTCCAGGGAGCTGGGCCCCACGTGGAGAAGAGAAATAAAACCAGCCCGAAAGCTTGGGCTTGCTCCAGGCTGTCCCCACATCCCAAGGGATGAGCTGCTTCCTTTGGGTGCTCCGGGCCCTAGAGCTGCATCCAAGCCCCCCCTGCTCCCTGCCTGCAGGACTGGCAGCCACCTGCTACCATGCTCCAAGGGGGAAACAGATGGAGCCAAACTTGTCCTTATTCACCCAGAATGCACGAGCATCCCGTTGTGTGACTCAGGGGGGAAGATGTCCCAGTCCCCTTGAGGTCACTCCCCAGTACAGCCAAGGGTGACCTGATGTCTCTGCTCTGCCTCATCTGGACACAAAATGTGGTTCTGTACATCAAAATCCCTCTAAATCCAATTTCAAACCCCCTTGCATATTTTCCCCAACAGCAGCCAGTGGCTCCAGCCTCATGATCCTGTGGGGCATCCTGCAGGAGCCACGGGGTGCAGCAGGATGGAGTTTTTAGCAGGACACCCACCTGCAAAGTCCCTCCTGCAAAATCACCCTCTGGGTGCTGCAGCAGCGAGGTTTTGCTTTGTTCCTGCTGACCCCCAGCCCTGCAGGGTATTTTTCCCCCTCCTGCACTACGCTCACCAAGCCAAGCGTGGATCCATCCTGAGGATGTGCCAGGACAGAGCTGACTAATCCCCACTCCCTCTCCTGCTCCAGTGCCAAGCGTGGCGGTGACAGATGGCTGCTGTGAGCCACGGAGGGCGGTGGTGGGGAACAACCAGAGCGGGAGCACGAGGCTGTGGAGCAGCACCAGCACTGCCAGCCCTGTCTGCATGGATCCTGCTCCAGCCCCAGGCAGGTGCTGCTGCTTCCCAGGCGGGCAGGGGGCAGGTCCAGCCCTGCTGCAGGAGATGGGGGCAGCCACGGGCAATGTGGAGTTGCCATGGGCAAGAGGGAATTGGAGTTGCCATGGGCAAGAGGGATTTGGAGCAGCTGCTCCTGCTGGGGCATCTTCCCTGGAGTCACCTGCTGGTCCATCACCCCCTCAGTCCCCTGAGCTGCAGGGGCTGCACCAGCTGTGCCTTTTGGGATATCAGCTGTCCTATGGGATGCAGCTTGAGCTGGGAGCATCCACCCACCGATGGCGCAGCCAGGAGCAGCTCTGGTGAGCCCAACTCACCTTGGCATGGTAGGTGATGGCACTCTTGGCCACTGCACACTGCTTCTCTACCAGGAAGCAGAACCGTCTCCTCTCTTCCGTCAGAGCTGTCTTGTACCCATCGGAGACGTAATTCTCCAGCTCCCCTTGCTTGTTGCTGATGGCTTCGATGTACTGGAACAGGGAGAGGAGCAGGGAGGGGGCTGCAGGCGGGGACCCCGGCACGGGACACACACGTGTGCCTGCACAGCCCCCCCAGCCCGCCCTTACTCACGGGAGCCCCCACGCAGAGGCGCTGACTCAGCCCATCACCCGTGGGCTGCACGGGACGAGCTGTACCCAGCGCCCGCCCGCTCACCACCCGGGTTTGGGGGTGCTGTGGGGGGCTGGGGGCTGCCCCGATGCCCTGGGACTGCCAGCAGCACCCCCAGCCCCCGGCTCACAAACCAGCAGCTCCCAGTGCACTCCAGCATCTCCCCCGCCGCCCCGGGTGTGCTGGATCCCGCACAGGGACCCTGCCACACACTGCGCCTCTAAAACTCCCCTTCAGTCCCTATTTCCCACGGGGGACACAGAGATGGTGCCGGGGCAGTGCCACACACTGGCACAGGATGTCCTGGCTGTTCCCTGGTGCCACACCCTGTGGCCCTGTCAGTGCCAGCAGCCAAATGCTCCTCTGCTGGCTCCTGCTCCCCCAGTCTGACGGGTGCCAGCACGGCTGTGCCACTCTGGGCTCTGCCAGCAGCACACACTGGCACAGGATGCCCTGGCTGTTCCCTGGTGCCACACCCTGGCTCCTTCTCTCCCAGTCTGACAGGTGCCAGCACGGCTGTGCCACTCTGGGCTCTGCCAGCAGCACACCTGGCACAGCAGCAGCACACGGGCTGGGCTGGGGGATCCCGGCACAGGGCAGCACCAGCCTCCCCGAGCACACCCGGTGCCCCCAGCTCCCTGATCCTGGCACCTTCTCCTCCCTTCATCCCCTTGGATGCTCCCAGCTTCCACCTGTGATGTGGCACCAGGGGCTCTGAGAGCAGCACCCCTCGCCCATCGCTGTCCCACATTGTGACACCTCCTTGCCACCATCTCTTCCCTAGGACAGGGGCACCACCACACTGGAAAGCCACAACACCCCCAGCCCAGGCAGGGCTGGACCTGCTTCAGGCAGCCCAGGCTTCTCTGAGACGGGAATTAAACTGGAAATTCAGCGCCCAAAGCAGCTTTGCTGCTTCTTCACGGTTATCAGTTATTTTTAGCATGCTACAATATTTATTAGCAGACACATAAAATGGAGCAAACCAACAAAAGCAGCAAGATTCAGTGACATCCCAGACTTCAAAGGGGGATTATTTTGGGGCTGCTCCTGGCTCCCACCCTGCTCCAAGCACCCCCTGAGAGCAAAACCCTGTGCAGGGCTCATGCCAGAGCCAGCAGGTTTTGGGTCTCCCCACATTGCACCAACCTGGGTGAGGGAAAGAGGGTCAGTGAGAAACGGATTAAAAACCCTGTTTGCAAGCAACAACCCTATTTCAAAGAGAATTTTTTCCTCCAACATGAGAAGATCTAGTGCAAACGCCCGTGGCCATGAGGAGAAATAAGCGAAGGGAACTGAACTGGTGCCACTGGGCACACAAGTGGAAGTGATGGAGGTTTTGGCATCACCCCGAAGCAAAGATACAGGGCATGGCACTGGGACAGCCCGGGTGTGCCGGCACAGAGAGGTGGAAGCAGCCCCGGGCACACAAAGCCCCCGAGGGAGGAGAAGGAGGAGGAGGATGAGGAGGAGGAGGATGTGCTCGGGAAGGCTCGGGACAGCAGCACTCCGCCTCCTCCCGGGTATTATTAGCCTGGGAACAGCGCAGGGACAGAGCCCAGAGGCAGCAGCCTGGCAGTGGTGATGGGAGCTGGGGAATGGGTGCCCCAGTGCCAGCCTGGAGAGCTCCCGGCCCCTCCAGCACAGCCCTGGCACACCCAGGATGGACCGAGCCCTGCTGCCCACAGCCGTCCCAGGGAAAGGGGCAGGACAGTTCTGGAAGGAAAGCACAACCCTGACTGCACCTGAAATAGCAGAGCACGCACGGACCCCGATCCCCAAAACTCATCCTGATCATTTCCTAACTGGGCCACCAACAACGAGAAGGTGAGGAGTGAGAAGAGCTCGGCTCCAGCTGATTTGACCCAGTGATTCCCTGCAGGATGCCCATGCCGGGGTCAGGCAGTGCCAGGGCGGGCGGGCACGGCTCCAGCCCAGACACACCACAACACAGGGAGAAAAACCCGGGCTTAGCAGCGTGAGAGCTGCAGCTCTCAGCACGATTGAAATCCGCAGGTACAAGCCTTGTTCACAGCCCTGCTCTCAGGCTGGTTTTGCAAGGCTCCTGCTAATTCCTGTGCTGAGGAAAGGCTTGTCTCAGCCAGTCGGAACACGCCGCTCCGCGAGCGCTGAGCCCACGCTCTAAACTTAGTACTCAGAGCTTTATATACTTTATGTAAATATGCTCCGTGTGCCATTGATTTACCCAGAGCCTTGATTTTACACGTTATTCCATCACAAAATGGCGAGCGACACTCCTTGTTCACGAGGTGGTTTTCAGTTTGGGTTTGCTCAGAATGACAGTGGGCTTTCAGATAACGCCCAGAAAGGCAAATTTAAATAAAAAGCCTGTTAAATATGCCAGATGCACGGAGGGGTGGGAAAGTAACACACAAAGCACAGTGTAAGATCTGGGGACTGCACTCCAAGGAGAAGCTCTGCCTTACCCAGGAGTGAGGCTTCACCTGCAGCCTGGTGCCCACCAGGACCTCGGGGCTGCTGCTCTCGTCTCCATTGCCCAGAACTGGGGGAAGGTGCCACCCTCTGAACCTCAGCCAGACTCCTTTCTCAGCCTGGCATGACCCCATCCCCTGTAAGGGCTGGGCAAGGTGCTTCCCCAAGACCCCACTGACAAGCAGGAACCACTCAAGCACTGCTTTGTAAACTGAGACCTTGGATTGATTGAGGTTGTCAGCTTCAAATTCACACGTTAAGAATCGTCTAAATAAAATTCCCAGTTGGAAGGAGGCAAAAAAACCCCATTTGTGATCCGAGCAGGCAGGGCGGTGGTCACACCCAAAGCCAGAGCACACACCAGAGCCACCCAACAGCTCCAGAAAATCTTTTCTGGGTTTCTAGGTTGGAGAGGCCTCAAATAACTCCCCCGTGCCGCCCCCCCTGCTTCCCACATCCACTTCCAATTCACTGGGAGCCGCTGACCTAATTAGCAGTGTCAGCACGTGGCGGCGCCGGGCAGAGGCTGTGGCACAGGATGCTGTGCCAGGGCTGGCACTGCCAGGGCTGGCACTGCCAGGGCTGGCACTGCCAGGGCTCCTGCCCTCTCCTGGGGCACCCCAGGCCGTGGGGACCCCCCCAGAGCCAGGCACACGAGTGGTGCTGGAGCCCCGGCGGGCAGTGCCCGCTCCAGAGCCAACCCCAGTGACCCCCCGGGTCAGGCAGGATTAGGAACACGAGCAGATGAAAAGGGAAGGAGCTGCTGCCAAGTCCCAGCTGGAGCAGCCGCTGTTGTCCTGCACAGACAGCCAGGGCACACAGCCCTGCCACCTCCCCAAGGCCACGGCTCGGGGAGGGATGGAGATCACAGAGCAGCTGAGAAATGTCAAGCCCCGAGCTGTGCGGAGCTGTCAGCGCAGGTGGAGCAGCACTGAGCTCCCTTTGATAAGCACAGCCTCGCTGGGAAATGAGTTCAGACCTCCCAGCCCCACCAGGAACACAAACACAGAGAACAGGAGCCAAGGGCAGCGCTGAGCACAGAAATCATCACCCAGATCCTTCTGAGCGTGTTTGTGTGACCAGGCTGAGCCAGGGACAAGAGGGGACCCCCAGCAGGAGCTGCCTTGGGGTCACCAGCACAGCACAGCCTGGAGTTTTGGGAGCAGAAAGCCAAGGGGCAGGAATGCTTCTATCCAGCACCGGGAGGGATGCAGGGCAGGGAGGGGCTGTGCCAACCCCAGCTCTGAGCCCAAGGAGGGATCGGTCAGAACAGCAGCACAGAGCAGTGGGAAAAGAGAAAGGAAAGGTCAGGGAAGAGACAGGACTGTGCTGGATCGATGCAGCAGCTGAAATATCTGGAAGGAGTAAACATGGAGAGAAGGGAGGATTTGTTTAGGCAACCACGAGGGAGAATGGCTGGAAATGGGATAAGATAAAAAAGAAGTGAGGTTGATTAGCAGGAGAAGAGCATCTGAGGCAGGGAACAGACTGGAGGCAAACCTGCTGAAACCCCAGCACAGCACTGAGGCAAAGGGAGCAGAGCAAGAGCCAGGGATCCTCAGCCCCGACAGCTTTTCCTCATTCCCAGGAACTGCTCCTTGTGAGGCAGCCCCGGGGGAGGCACTGTCCCCTCCTGCAGCCCCCACACACCCGGTGACCCCAGGGTGTCACTGTCACCGAGGGTGGCTGCTGTGTCCAGCCAGGCACAGAAACGCTGGATCCAAGCCCAGGGATATCCCAGCTCTTCCACAGCCAGGAAAAGAGAGAAGAGCTCGGGATGAGCCCTGGCCCACCCTCTCCTGTAATATGGCAAATAAAACAACAAGGAATGGCCACCACTGGTCACCATGGGAGCCCAAACACATTTCCCAGCCTTTTGTGGGGACACTGCCCCTGCCAAGCCACACAGGCACAGCAGAGCCCAGGGAGGGGACAACCAACCTCCCCCTGCCCTGCACAGCACCAGCACCCCCAGCCAGGAGAAGGGCAAGCCCTGGCCCCTGCTGTGCTGCCCACCAGCCCCCCCAGCTCTGGCTGCAGCCAAAGCTCCGTGGGGACGCTGGGACACGGCTGCTGATGTTATCCAAGGTGATGGGAAAGGCAGAGCAGAACCTGGGGAGCTCCAGGGATGCCAGGCTGGCTCCCTCCCCTGGGAAGGGCTGTCTCCCCTCGTTATGGTCACATCTGCCTGGCCCCAGCCCTGTCCTGCTGCTGCCCAGCCCCAGCCACGCACACGTGTGGTGTTACATAAAATTCAGAGACAAAGCAGCAGGGAAATGCTGGCTCCAGTGCTGGCTTCACCTTCTCCTGCCCAAAACGTTCCCTCAGCACAGGAGCACCCCAGAGCAGCAGCTCCGTGTGACATTTGGTACCCAAATGTTCACAGCACAGCCCTGAGATGCACAGGCACCTCCAGGAACATTTCCAGGGATGGAGCAGCCACAGCTTCTCTCATTTCCCTCAAAGGGAAGAATCTCTCCCCAATATCCCATCTAACCCTGCCCTCTGGCAGTGGGAAGCCATTCCCCCTGTCCTGTCACTCCAGGCTTTGTCCAGAGTCCCTCTCCAGCTCTCTTGGAGCCTCTTTAGATACTGGAAGGGGCTCCTCCTCTCTTGCTGGGTTTGGGCACGTCCTCCCTCAGCCTAAATCCCAGTCAAACCTGGAGGGAGTCACCCGGAGCTTTGAGTCCTTCCCTGTTTGACTTTCACATAAACCTCGTAACCCGGTTTGTGCAAGCTCCGTGTCATTTGGAGCTTCCTGACCTACACCTAAAATTATTTCTCCTGATGGGAATATCCAAAATGAGGTTTCAATGACAAAAGTTTAAAAAACCCCACAGGTTATTTGGCAGAGTGGTATTAAAACATTTCCATGGGAGCAGGGGTGGGTGAAGGCAGAGGCTGAGCTCGGCCCTCACTGCCCACCCAGGGTCAGCCACTGTCACCTGGGTCAGGCACAGCCTTCCAGGACAAACACCCAGCCCCAGCACTGCTATTTAGGCTGAATTACATCCAGTTTTGTCTCAGCTCAATGCAGAAATCCAATTGCTCCCAGTGCTAATATGATTTGATAAATACTTTGAACCAACATAACTTCATTGCTGAGCTGCTGATTCAATCCAGGTCCCAAACCCATCGTGACCTTGATTTCATGGCCTGATCACAACCAGCCTTTAATGAAATTACAGCACTTGAGCTTCCTTGGTGATTGTTTAATCTTAATATTGTTTTCATTCCTCTTCATCAGAGATGTGAAGTGAATGGAATTGGTTTGCTCTCCTGGTTTTCAACACAGGTCAAGCCCCATCTCAGCCACTCCAGGAGGAAGAGGAGCCATGTGAGGCTCTCAGCCCTCACTCCTTGTGTGGAGCAGCAGCTCAGGACTGATTCCTGAGGGATAAAAGCCTGGCTTAACGTGACACTCAGCAGCAACAACCCCCAAGCACAGCATTGCTCCTGACCATGGCAGACAGGGCTTGGGAGCAGGGACACCACCCCTGCATCCTCTGAGAGCTGGGACATCACCCCTGCATCCTCTGGGAGCAGGGACATCACCCCTGCATCCTCTGAGAGCTGGGATATCACCCCTGCAGCCCCTGGGAGCAGGGACATCACCCCTGCATCCCCTGAGAGCTGGGACATCACCCCTGCATCCCCTGAGAGCTGGGACATCACCCCTGCATCCTCTGGGAGCTGAGACATCACCCCTGCATCCTCTGGGAGCAGGGACATCACCCCTGCAGCCTCTGGGAGCTGGGACATCACCCCTGCAGCCTCTGGCACCTGGAGCTGGTTCAGAGCTGTGTGAGCTGCCCAGGCTGCAAACCTGAGGTGCTTTAACTCCTCAGCCACTTAATGCTGCAAGACTCATCCTCGTCTGGAAAACTCCACAAAACCAGCACGAGCCAGTGGCCAGTGACTGCAGACAGGCCCGGACCAGCTCTGTCCATGCAATGAGGGGCTGATGCAGCTCGGGAGAAGCCTCCTGCAGGAGTCTGTGAGCATCACAGCCCCTCAGCCCCCTGCTCCAAAGCCACTGCTGGGTGCAGTCCCTGCTGAACTCCAGCATTTATTTCTGCTTTATAAAGGAGAACAGCTGAATTGAGCAGCTGAGGTGTTTGGGCTGTTGCTGAGCTCTGGGATTGATTTAGCAGTGTGGGACACAGCCACGCTGCTGCCCCTGCCCACACCAGGGCTGTCCTGTGCCAAAACCAGGGCCTGGGTGGCCCCGAACCCGCTCTCACTCTGGGAAATGTTACATAAACCCAGAGGTCCCTGCAGGACAGTCCTGCTGCTGCCACCACATGTCTCCGTGGCAGGTGATGACAAGATGTGGTCACTCCACAAGTGGTGCAGAGGCAGAAAGGAGCAGTTCTGCTTCCCAGAACATTAAATATGAAGGAAGATGATGACAGAGCATCAGACTCCTGGCTGGCAGCTGCCCCAGCAGCTTCACAGGGATGAGCCTCCAGAAGAGCAAGATGTTATTGCTGCCTCCAAGGAGGTGACACTTCAGCAGCAGCAGCAGCTTCTCCCACGAGGAGACAAGGGAGCAGCCACAGCCCAGCAGGGGACTCCAGGCAGCCCTGGCTGATGGGTCTGTGGTCCCCAGGCACCAGCCTGGTGCAGTTGTCAGCATCCCAAAACCATCCCCAGGTACTTGAGCAGACCACCACAGGTTTGGCAAGTGGCCACAGGGGTGGCTTTGGGCCAGTTCCACAAACCAGGCTGAGGAAAGCAAAGCCCCACAGAGCTCTGTGCGTGCTCCTGATCCACTCAAACCTGGTTTCACCTCCTCAAAGCCCAGTTTCAGCTCCCCAAAACCCAGTTTCACCTCCTCAAAGCCCAGTTCCCGCTCATCAAAGCCCAAAACAAGGCTCTGTCCTCAGCACCAACACTCACACAGTTCCAGGCTGGACTCCCTCTCTCTCCAATGCCCAGACAGAAGTAAAACAGTGCCCAGGGTGGCCCCAAACACTTTTTTTTTCTGCTGAGGAAACACCAGCCTGCAGTCAGCAGAGAAGAGAGGGGAAGTGCCCTCTTGGCTGCATTCAGCAATTTTAACTTTGTGTTCAGATCTAAGGCAAAGCAAACCCCTGCCGAGCACAGCAGAATCACAGAATATTCTGAGCTGCAAGGGTCTCATAGCTCTGTAAGCTCAAAAGCCATCAGAAGGCTTTTTTGGAGATAAGCACTTCCTAAACACTTAGTGCTGGAAGATTAAAGGGAATGAGTGTCTGATCCTGTTTCCCTGCCCGGGGAGCTGTGCTAGCAGGGCTGTCCCATCCCTGCCACATCCCAGCAGGAGCCTCAGCCCTCCCTCCATCCCTCCATCCCTCCGAGATGGGGATCCCTGCCCCAGCTTTGGCAGGACAGGGCTGTCCCTGGCAGCAGCTCTCGTGGGGGTCACAGAGGTTTGATCCCCGTGTCTCCCCATGCTGGGCTCGGGGCTTTTCTGGCTCAGCAGGAATTTTAAAGCTGGGACTTGTGGAAATGCCAGGCTCAGAAGTGGTTTCAGCTGCTCAGCTCTGGAGAGCACGGCAGAGCCCCCAGCACAGCAGGATGGGCATGGAGGAGCGTGCTGGCAGCTCCCAGTCCTGCTCCAGCACCTCCCAGTCCTGCTCCAGCATCCCCAGTTCTGCTCCAGCATCCCCAGCCCTGCTCCATCAGTGCCCTGAGTGGGATCCATCAGTGATCCCGAGTGGGATCCGTGGCTGCCCCGAGTGCCACAGCCCCGTGGCACTGCCAGGACACGCCCTGGGTGCTCCTCAGTGGGACCCAAGGCTGCCTCCAGCTTTGTGGGGAGCTCTGAGTCCCCCCGTGCCCACCCCTGAGCGCAGCCCCCGGGAGGGACCACACACAGCATCACACATCACACCCATCACACCGCTCTGATTCACTGCAGCCACCCCCAGCACCGCCCCCACGGCTGGGGGAAGGGGCACAGGCACAGAAATCACACACCAGAACACCTCCCAGAACACCCTCCTGGGGACAGAACACCCTCCTGAGGGGGAGAAAACCCTCCTGGGAAGGCTGGATCAGGAATTCAGGATCCCTTGGAGCCATTCCCGAAGGCAAAGGGTAAAAGCAGCTCCAGCCCCTCTCTGCCCATGGGAACAGCCCGTTCCCAGCGCTGGCTGCCACCCCCTCCCACCCACAGCTCCCCATCCCACCGGCACCTCCAGAGCTGCTGAGCCCCTTCCTCTAAAGAGAGCAGCAAATCCTTGCCCAGGGGTTTGCCAAGCACCCCCTCGTGTCCCCAGTCCTACCTGCAGCTCCTTGTCCGAGTATTTCTGTGGGTTCTTGCTGCCCTGGCTCTTCTTGCGAAGTTTCTTCAGCTCTGCCTGGCACTTGTCCAGGGAGTCCCCCTTGCTCCTCTGCTCTGTCTGGTATTTCTTCAGCGCAGCCTGGACGAGACAGGAGAAAGTTCTGAGCCTTGGCTGCAGCTCCTGCTGCCACGGGGTGACAGGAACCAGCAGAGCCCCTGGCAAAGGGGGATTCCCCGAGAGCAAACAGGGGACAAGGCTGTCCTGTGCGTGGTGACACCGGGACCTGTCTGTAACTGGGGCAGGAGCTGTGACATGGCATGGCATCCCCCAGGAGGGAGAAGGGGACACCCAGGGACACCCAGGAGGGAGCAGGGGACACCCAGGGACCCCCGGGGCCAGGGCTGTGCCAGACTCACACACACAGAACTCACACTCAGGTACCGGGAGTCCAGCTCCACCTTCTGCTCCAGCTGCGTCAGGAGCTCGTTGTGGAAGGACTTGAGCTGCAGGGAGAAACAAAACACACAGTGCTTGGGGAGGAAGGGCAGAGCCTGCCTGGGGAGCTGCAGATGGCACAGGGAGGGCACCAGGGCAGGGCTGAGAGCAGAGAGGGACGGGCTCAGAGAGGGCCCAGCAGGGCTGAAGAGGAGCCCAAGCTCCTTTGGAGCTTAGCAAATCCACGGCAGAGGGGCTGGTGTCATCTGGACAAGGCACAGAAAAGCATTTTCCACCACCAGGGACCCTGGCACGCCAGGCTGGGCACTCACCATCTCCTCCAGCTGGTTCTGGATCTGCCTGTGCACCTCTGCCATCTGGAAGAGCACATCCCCTGCAGAGACAGGACAGGGAGGGTTTGAGGGGACACCAGGGGACACCCCAGGGCTGGGGCAGGCAGCACCCTGCTGGCAAGGAGGGGTCCCCAGCCAGAGCCAGGGGGATCCTGTGGTATCCCCCGTGCCCACCCCGGGGAGCTGCAGTGAGCCAGCGCTCACCTGAGCACACAGGTAAACCTTGTGAGGCAGGAAGCAGCAGCAGGACCCCAGCACCAAGGCAGCCCCTGCTCCCCAGGGCCAGCACAGGGACAGACACAGCCCTGGCACTCAGAGCAGGACACAGGACACAGGACAAGCCCTGGGGTCCCCACTGCAGCCAGGGAATCCCAGCCCTGCTCTGCCTCTTCCTTTCATTTTTCTTTTCCAATGCAGGACTGCAGCCCCAGCGCTGCTCCTGGAGGAAGGGCTGTGTCCTGGCTCAGCAGGAGCCCCAGACACACACAGGAGCATCTTTAGGAACAGAGCCAGCACTGAGAGCCCCGTGTCTGGATCAGAGCGAGCCCTGGGGACAGCCCAGCTCTGTCAGCTCTTTGCAGGGCTGAGTTTGGAAGCTTTTCCTTCCAGCATGGCAGATTTTAGCTTCCCAAGAGGCTCCCAACCTCTCTGGAGCTGTTTGCAAATGAAAGCCAGCATCTCGCTGGGGCAAGGGAGCGAGTGGGAGCCTCTGCCAGCACAGCTGGTGCATCTGGGTCAGCCCCAGCCTGTCCCCCCACATCCCTGGGCACATGTACCATGTCCCAGCCGAGTGTCAACACCCCCAGCTGACCAGGAACCACCTGCCTCAGCACTGCTTTGCCCTCCTGGCTGGAGCAATCCGTACTTTGCACCATACAAACCTTTCTGCAAACATTAAAATCCGAGCCCTTGGCAGGACCAGCCCCTGTGCTGGGGTGCCAGACCCGGCTGTGGCACGGGCTGGTGGCAGGGCCAGTGTCCCTCTGTGCCCCCCGAGAGAGCAGCAGTGCCCAGGGTGTCCCACCAAGCGAGAGGTGAGCAGAGCTCTGCCCTGCCCCAGGAGGACACAGCGTGCCCAAATCCCCACCGAGCCGGCCACGGCTTTTCCAGGCTGTTGTGCAGGTGCTGAGCCCTCGCCCCCAGGCCAGCACACGCGTCCTGAAGTGTCACACGTGAGCAGGGACATCAAGGCAAGGGGTCACCAGCACAGCAGAGCCAGGAAATCGCTCCTGCTTGGGCTGCCACAGCTCAATGGTGGGAAGTGCCTGAATTCCCAGTGCAAGGAGGCCCCGGGTGGGTCACAGCGAGGTGCCTTTGTCAGGGTATCAATGCAAGGGTGGATCTCTCTTTATTCCCAAAGCTCACACCACCCCCTGTCCCTCTCCTTCCCGTTTGGCTGGAGTGGAAATCCTGGGAATGCTGGCTGGAGACTCTGGCCACTGTCACAGAGCAGGAACTGGGACACCCAGAAATGACAGCCCCGTCCCCAAATGCAGCCCTGGGTACCCGTGTTTGGGACAAGAGGGCTCTGCCTGTTCCTCTCCCAGGGACTTGGCCCGTTCCCAGCACCAGGGTGGCTCGTGGTGCACTCTCAGCACTGATATCCATCTTTTGGGTTCAGCTTTCTCCTGCTGCCACCCCCTCGGCTCCTCCAGCCCCACATCAAAGCCAGCAGGGCACGGAGCCTTTCCCACAGCACAGCCTGGCCGTGTCCCAGCCCGGCCAGGGGACTCTGCTGTCCCCCCCAGCCCAGCACCACGGGGTGGCAGGAAGGCAGCTGGATGTCTGCCCAGAGCCTCCCCAGCTTCCTGCAGAGCCTCTCCCCAGCTCCAGGCTCCCCACCACCACTGGAAGCCTCACTGGGCAGCAGGATTTGAGTTAAATCCCCCAAAAGCAGCGGCAGCAGCAGCAGGGTGTGAATTCCCACAGGGCACCCTGCACACAAAACCCTACAGCCCATGTGGGACTAACAGACATCACCCCAAACCCAGCCCAGGGATGAAATTCAACTCTAAGGGATACCAAGGTAGCTGGAAAGCCTAAATAATCCAAAATTCGACTTGGATGGCACAGTGCCAGGGGTTCCACCGTGAAATTCCTGGGTGGCAGGGCTGGGAGCGGGCACAGGGCACACGCCCTGGCAGCAGCACAGCCACCCACGCCAGGGGCGTTGTGCATCAGCTGCCAGAGGAATTTGTAAATAAAACACCTGAACTCGCAGTGTGCAGCAGGACAGCAGCTCAGGGCACCGCGTGAGCCAAAACACACATCCTGCAGGTGAAGGAGCCCCGGGTGCAGCATCTCAGCTACACCCAGAGGTACAAACAGAGCAGGGGCAGGAGGCTGAGCTGGGATTTGTCCCCTCCCCGCAGGCTGCCGAGCACTGGAGGAGCTGGGCTGACTCACAGTATCGCTCTGGGAGAAGAACTCCAGCAGCTATTGCGGGCCCTTCCCTTCCACACCCAGCCCACAACGGGCAAACAGGTTGTTCCACATCCCTCCCCTCCCTGCTGGAGCCAGCTGCCCCTCCAGAAGGTGAAGCAGTGGGAACCCAGCTCTCAAGGGTTGGCTTTGGAGTTGTCAGAGACTCAAGGTTATTTTTTTTTTTTTTTTACTCCCTCTCTCTAAAACAGGATGTGGGCCATTTCTAATAAAAATACCAACTATGCACAAAGCAGGATTGCTCAGAGGCTGAGCATGTGCAGGGCTGCAGCAGCCCAGGCCGGCCTGAAGGGCAGCAGGAGGTGGTGGCCAGTGGCCAGGGGACCATCTCCCTGCCCCAGCTCCTGGGGTCAGGACTTGGGCACATCCCCTAAAAACCAGCCAGCAATAATTCTGCTCACACAACACCTCAGTGCTGAGGCAGCCAAATTTAAGGCAAAACCAAGCGAAGGGAGAGGTGGCACTTGGGGGGCACAGTTTAATGGGGGCACAGTTTAATGGGGCACAGTTTAATGGGGGGCTCTGTGGGCTCATTGATCCTGAGTGATCCCGACCTGCCCCAAGGCTCACAGAGCAGCTCCCCAGTGCCAGGGAGCCCTCCCAGCCCAGCCACCATTGCCTGTGACAGCTGGCAAGATCCGTGTGCAGTGGGAAGGAGACGAGTGTGGGGAAACAATCATCTCCTCCACGCTGACTCATCCCTTTCCTCTCTCTCTCTCTCTCCACAAGGGTTTCACTTCTGCCAGCCCCAGAGGACTGGGCGATGTGCTGATAATTCATCAGCCCCGCCTGGCACAGCTCGAGGCGTTTCTCATTTGCTTTTTAAGAGACTGGGTAAAGGGAAAAGCAGAAGCTTCACAAGGCGCCCCAGCTTGGGTTCCCATTTCCCGGCTCCCTCAGTCCTTTCACCGGGGAAACCTCAGAGCCTGGGATGTTCTGTGCCCCCCGAGCCCCCCCGGATGGGGCCAGTCCTGGATCTGTCCCAGGATGCACAGCCCAGTGAGTCCCCAGTGCTGTGGCAGGAGCTGTACTGGTGGCACTGGTTAATTAAACACCCTCACACTGCCCAGCCTGGCCCCACATGATCCCATCCCTGCAGCAGCTCCAGAGGGGAAGCAAACACCTCCAGGACCTGGAGCTGGGCACACACCCAGCCAAAACCCCTCCTCAACCCTGCCAAACTCCTTAAAACCCCTCCTCAAACCTGCCAAACCCCCCAAAACCCCTCCTCAACCCTGCCAAACTCCCCAAACCTCTCCTCAGCCCTGCCAAGCTGCCCCCAGTGCTGCTGGCTGGCAGAAAGCAGCCCATGGACACTCACATCCCCCTCCATCCCCCCCAAAAAAGGAGGGAGCATCCCTGCAGGATCCTTGCCAGGCTCAGGTGGGGATCCTGGAAGTTGTCACCATCACCAGGGAAGGTGAAACCCAGACGTGTCACACATCTGCCACACGTTGGGAGCCCCAGCCAGGCCACATGGTCCTCACAGATGCTCATTTCCAACCCTCCAGCACCCACAGGTTGGTGGGAATGAGCCTTGGCAGGGGGGGAGGCAGCAGAAAAGCCCCGTCCTAGAGGGGCTCGTCTTGTGTTTCTGCACCCTCAGCAAACCCATTCCTGCAGCACAAAGCTGTCACCCACAAGGTGTTAAGTGCATCGTTAAGCCCAAATTTAAAGGATCACCAAAAAGATCTCGGCTCCCAGCCAGGAGCTCACCTCCACAGCAGGGACACTGCCACAAATCACAGGGAAATATTTTTTTCCTGGAGTTCTGTGCCAGCCTGGGCACTGCTCTGCCTGGTTCCCAGTGGGCACCAGCAGCTCTGCTGGTCCCAAATCACTCAGAGCCAGCAGAGCTCCAGCAGTCCCCGATCCCCCAGGGGCTCCAGGGTGACCTCTGGCACTGTGGGATCTATATCTGCACCTCCAGGAAGCATCTACCCAAAACAACCACAAATCCAATTAACAGATTAATCCCAGAGGATGTGCTGCAGCACAAAACCTCTGAAGCAGCAGGACAGATCCTGGAGGTGCAGGGGAGATCCTGGATCCCTGGAAATGTCCCAGACCAGGGCTTGGAGCAAGCTGGGATAGTGGAAAGTGTCCCTGCCCATGGCAGGGGTGGAGCTGGATGAGCTGTAAAATCTCATCCGAGCCATGAAGGTGCCATTTCCCGATTTCATTGTGGAAATAAAAAGCCATTATGTGCCAGGGGCTCCTTTCAGCTCAACAATGGCTGAGTAATGACTGCTGTGTCACCCGGAGCAGGGTGACACTCAGCCAAGGGACCTGCCAGGAACAAAATCCACCTGCAGCCCTGGAGGTGCTTCCTGCAGGTCCTGCTCAGCCCCAGCATCCCGGGGGGGAAATCTCCTCCATCTCTGCTCAGCAGGAGCAGAAAACCCCTTTCCATGACTTTGCCATGGCCTAATTTTCCAGAAGGACAAAAGAATTCGACATCTTGAGCAGCATCCAAGGGACCCAGGCAGGAGCTGGGCTGGGGCCAAAGTCACCTGAGGACTCTTGCAGGAGGCTGGAGCTGCTTGGGAGGGGCTGCAAAACCTTCCCTGGTCACACACAGGCTCCTCACGGCAGCTGATCCTCCCCAAAAACACCACAACCACCGAGGGGGTGAAGAACAGCCCGGGGAGCCTCTCAGGGGCACCCACCTTTGGGTGGGCACAGCCCTGATCCCAAATACCAGGGAATTGCACAGAACCAACCCTGCTGCTGCTCAGAGCACCCCTGGGTGGGGAACACCCCAAACTCCAGCTCTGGGGTCCAGACAGGACCCCCCAGCCACCTGGAGCTGAAAACTCAGCCCCCAGAGCCGATTAGAGCTCGAGTGCATTATTGTTGTTATTATGGCCACTTCTCCATTCCCACACGGGATTATCCTGTCTGCACACAGTTCCCAAAATCTGATGGGGAATTCAGAAAAAATGCACAGTGCTAAGCAGCCCCAGGGGCTGAGGGCAGAGCAGGGCTGCTCTGTGTGCCAGCACACAAACCTGCAGCACTGCTGGCACCAGGGGCTGGGGTCAGGACACGTCGTGTGCCACACGGGACACCAGGAAAGCTCCCAGCTCAGGGGAGGGGGTCTGCAGGGACAACAATTCTCTCAGATTTTCGTCCATGGAGGCTGGGAGTGGGAGCTGCAATCCTGACCAAAGCACCCCCTGGTCTTGGCTGACATCTTGCAGCAGTTTTTCCCCATAAACTCATGGAAGAAAATCCATGGGGGGCACAGCATTAATGGAAGCAGCATTAAAAGAATTCCTGTTTACTGTTCTAGAATGAATTGCCCATGCCTGGGAGTGTTGGATGGGGCTTGCAGCACCCTGGGATGGTGGGAGGGGTCCCTGCCCTGGCAGGGGGGCACTGGATGGGCTTTAAGGTCCCTTCCAGCCCAAACCAGGCTGGGATGCTCGGAAATAAAATAACCCAGAGCTCCTTTCTGGCACGATCAGCATTCCCAGCGATAAGGCAAAGGTGTTCCCAGGAAAAGCTGCAGCTCTGGCGAGCACAGCCCCGACCCAGAGCACTCCCAGCCCCTGTTTACACATCTGTGGGAGGGGGCTGTGTCCCAGCTGTTATCAGCTCCACTGAGCTGCAGCCAGAAATTTTATCTCAACTTTCTCCTGCCCGGAGCAGCTGCCACAGCAAATATCAGCAGAGCACGAGGCTGAGCTGCCAGGAGCCTCCCTGGGATGTGTCCACACCAGGAGCAGTGATTTGGAAACATTTGGAACCCCAGAACACTCGAGCCACACACGGGGGAGACAGCACCAGGGACATCAAACCCTTTGCCTTCAGTGAGGAACCAGGGCCAGAAGTCCCCAAATCCAGGTTGGAAGTGTGAACAACTGAAGATCCAGCAGGGTGAGGGGGGGTCCCCAAGCTCCTGCCCCCGAAATTCCCTTGCAGGAGGGCAGAGCTGGGTGTCCCTCAGCCCCAGAGAGGCTGAGGCAGCTCCTCGCAGGCTCTGCAGCACACAGGGCTCTTTGTTTTATTTATTAAACAGAAGCAGATTGCTCCAGGCAGCTTTAATCCACGACTCGGTTTCCATAGACACTTTACTGCTTTCCCAGCACAATTCTGAGCAGCAGCAGGGCTGGGGGGGAGCGGGGTCTGACACCAAATCCAGAGCCCAGGGGCTGCTCCCCGGCTCCTTCAGCCTTTGGAGTCGTTTCAGCTCAAGCTCTCTGTTAATTGCCTGCCCCGGAGAGACGCTTTAATGAGCACTTTGCCATCGCTGCTGAGCCAGAGCTGCGGGAGGGATGGAGGAGGAGGAGGAGGAGAAGGAGGAGGAGGAGGAAGGGTTCACCTGGGACTGCACAGACACGAGACCAAGCCCCATCTCACTCCATGAGAGCCTTAACAGGGTGCAGCATCCCAGGGGGAGAACTGGGAGAGACCCCTGGAACCGTGGGGAGAGCTCAGGGGGACCCCTGGAATCACGGCTGTGAGGAGGGAGGGCACAGGAGGGTGTTTGGGCAATAGGAACACTGGAAAAGCAGCTCCCGGAGGATTTAGTGGGGAAATAAGTGTGAGAAAGGGGAAGGAGGCAGCGTCACAGCTCGTGATGTTTGCCATGGATTGGGCAAACACCAGTCCCTGGCTGTGGGCACAGGGAGGCTCCAGCAGGGCACAGGGTGACCCTCACCAGCACAGCCCCTGCCCCTTCCCACACCCCTCCCTCTCCAGCTCAGCCCCAGCTCACAGCCAAAATCTGCTCCTCTGAGCAGAATCCAGCACGAAGCTGCTCCCCAAAAACACACTGAGAGCACCCGGGGCTTTTCCAAACTGCATTAACAGTAAATACAGAGACCCTGGGACAAGGCAGGAGCAGCTCCACACTGAGCTCGTCCTCCCCAGCAGCACCAAAGCTCTGCCCCATTCCTGGGCTGGGAATCTGCAATTCCCCCGAGCAGCAAACCGGGGACTTACCCAATTCCTTCGACCCTTGGCTTTCACTGGCCAACTCTCCCATCTTCACCAGAGCATCAAAGTACCCTTTGGCTGCGTATGTCATGCCTAAAAAGCACCAAAAAACGGAGGTGATGTTCTCCTCTGTGGCTGTTAGAAGTTCTGGGGCACTGAGGAGATGCTGGGCACTGAAAGAGGCATCACCTCAAAGGGCTAAACCCCACGGGGAGGGAGCACACAACAAACAGAGGAAAGGCGAGCACAGAAGGCTGGAGCAGGGAGATTACAGGGTAATTTAGGATTAAAAAAGGTACGTGCAGGACTGTGGTGATTTTCATTGCAGTGCAAGCATCGGGCTGCTAATGCTGCTCAGAGAAATCACTGTGGAATAATTGAATATCACAGACTTTCATTATAGTTCAGCCCTGTTTGTTGACATTCCAGCTACACACTTGACTCTAATCAGATAAGCAGGGGGTTTCCTCTAATCACAGAACACGCTGTACAGCCCCAGCTCCAGCCTTCCAACTCTCTGCTCTGCCTCCTGGGCTCTGCCCTTCCTCCAGCTGCCCCCCAGCTCGGGGATCCCAGGGGAAGGACGAGCCAAGTTCAAAATTACAGGAAGATCCTTGGCTCTGCAGCGTTTTCACAGCAGGGATGTGGGAAAAGCACAAGCCCAGGGATCACACTGCCTGTCCCCAGTGCACACATCCAGCTCCCAGGTAATCACAGCTGAGCTAGCAGGACAATAGCTCAGAAGAATAAATGAAAAACGCAGTCCCAAGGGTAAAAGCACCCCCAAACCGTGACCCCCACTGTGCTGGCACCCTCAGGAATTTCTGGGCTTGTTGAGGCTGCCCTGTGCCCCTTCCCTGGGGATCAGAGTCCACAGTCCTGAGCACTGGACCGGGCTGGGGTCACAGCTGGGTGAGCCATTAAATCCCAGTTCAAACCAGCACTGTGTCCAGGGCACCTGGGAACAGGGGGTGGGATTAAAAATCCTCATGGAAACAACCCCTGGCTTGTGGGAAAGAAAATGTGCTGCAGGCAGGGAGCAGGAGCAGAGATCCTTCCCAAAGGTCGGGTCCCAAACCCCAGCACTGCAGGGCAGGAGACACCAAAAGGGTTTTCCCTGCTGGCTGAAGATGATGACAGACTCTCCCCCACGGGCATTTGCACTGGGATTATTCCAAAATAAAATCCAGGAGACACGTGCAGCTCTGGAGGGAGCAGAGCCCTCCCTGGGAAAACACAGCTCGGGGTTGAGCAAAGCTTAAACCTCCTTAAAACGCAGCTGAGGAGGGCCCAGGCAGTGCACAAAGCCAGTTTAAGTCAAAAGAGTCAATGTTGGGGTTTAATCAATTCCGAGCTTCCTTTTGATCACTTAAACCTACACCTCCCTAATGGCTCCCAATAGGATCCTGCATTCCCAATCAAGAGCTGCCATCAACACTTTCAGGCTTTTCCCTTCTCTTCATTCTTCTGGGCAATTTAAACATTTCATAAACACCTCTTTAAACAAAGCTTCAAACCTCAATTCTCAATATTTTAAACAAACATTTAAAGATGAACTGTTTGGAGATGTGTTTTGTTATCCCGCTGCCTCCCAACGTTTTCTCCCTGGAATCCCTCCCCCATCCATGGCCTTGCACATCCTCCCATGGGCACAAGGAACTTTTCAGCAAAACCCCAACGATTTTCCACAAAAAACAAAAGTTTTCCAGCTTTCCCCCCCGTCCCTGGCAGCCCCAGGGTCACTTACTTGCTAAGGCTTTTTCATAGGTCTTCCCCATAGAAATGAAATTCCTGAGGCTGGGGTTGAACTGCTCCATGATTGTCTAAAGGGAAGAGAACATTGCTGGGATTAGCAGGGGTGGTGGGAAGTGAACAGCTCCATGCTCAACTCTGTCCTGACAAACACAAAAAAAAAAAGCCAAAAAATCGTCCCAGCTCCCTGGAAGATGCCCCAGGATCCTCCCTCATCCATCCTTGAGGAAAACCAAGCTGGGTTTGAGGGGCTCTGCAGTGCCCCAGCAGAGGAAAGTGAATGCCCCAACCAGAAAATCACCAGATCTGGCAAAAATCCCCATAATAACAACTGTGAGTGTCTGTGTGGGGCAGCAGCAGCGCTCGGAGCAGGCAGGGAGGTGACTCAGGAGCTGGGGGATGGTGGCAGTGATGTCCCACCCCTGGCACGGCCACGGAGAGCAGCACCAGCCCAGCCCATCACGGACAGACAGGAAGGGCTGGAGAGCAGAATTCCAGATGTGCAGCCAGCTGTGAGCCCGAGCAGAGCCCCCAGCACCCCCTGAGCCGTGCCAGGAACCACACCTGGGTGCCCCAGCCCCTGGGGGCACTGCCCACCTGCCCAAAGGGCACCCACAGGAGGGGCTGAGCACGGGCAGCAACGCCTGAGCTGCTCCCAGCCCTCGGCGGAGGTGGGGGAAGGAATAATCGGATCAGGGGCAAGGAGAAGGGCTCTTTGTGCGCTGGCCCTGCAGCCACAGCCCTCCCTGGCAGTGCCCGCAGCGATCCCAGCCTCCATTCCCTCCTGGGGATCCTCGGGATGCTCCAGCCCCCGCGCTGATCCCAAACCCTGCTGCCCCACCTTGGGGACACCTCCCTGCCAAGGTGCCACCAGAAAATGGAGCTCAGAGCCTGGATGTCCCCGAGGAGGGACGCACAGAGGGGATTCCTGCTGGGAACGGGGGCTCTGCACCCCCAGGCTGCTGGCAGAGCCCCACCCCGGGCAGGGAGGGAAGACAGGCAGACACTTACAGGGAATAAGCTGATTAAGCATCTGTCACCTCATCGGAGGCTGCCCCTACACTATAAAGCTCATTTTCTGCCTGAGGCATTTTTATCCCAGTTCCTGCTGCCCAGCCCTCGAGTCTGACAGCTGAATTTTCTCCACACGAGCGCAGGGCTCAGGCAGAGCCCTCCCGGCTCCACACAGCTCCTTTTGGGTTCCTCTGGGTGGGGCACCCAGCAGAGGGGCGGCATCAGCCCAGTGCTGGCATTTCAGCAGGAATCCTGGTAATCCTTCCAGGCTGGGGGTGGCTGCAGGGTCCCCAGCAGCCCCCCAGGTCCTCACGGCACCAGCCACAACTGCAAAGGGCAGGAGATGATGATTGACGAGGCTAATGAGGAGCTGCCCCGCTAATTAAGGCTGCAGGCCAGCACGGCAGGGCTCCTGGAAGCAGTTTTGGGGCAGCTCCGAGCAGTTTGGTGGATGTGAAAGGAGAAAAATGAACCTGTAGCAACAAGCCAGGTGTTCTCCAGCGTGTAGGAGACAATTGCACAGGAGTTAATTAGCAGTGGTGGGGATTGCTCCATCCTGCCCACATCACATCGAACTCCAGTCCAAAATCTGCCCAGAGAGCAGCTGGAGGTTGGGATCAGTGCCCACAGCAGGGACAGGGGCACGGACACGACCCCAACAACAGCCTCCAGCTCAGCCTGAGCACTCCGAGGCTGAACAGCATTTCAGCAGCAGAAATGTTGGCAGAATTTCTGCAGGGAGGAGATTTTTCGGCGGTTTGCAGGTTCAGAGCAGTGTTTGTGTACGTGGATGTGCACAGGGATATGTAAATAGTGTGATTTTCTCAGCAGTGCCCGTGTAAACACATCGTCCTGAGCATGAAACCGAGGGAATTAATGATGGAACAGGATCCCCAGACAAAGCATCATCCAAAATTCTGCACATCTTGCCCAAACCACAGGGAACCAAAGCACAGCCCAGCCCTGGCACTGCTCAGGGCAGGTCCTGCTCCCCAGTGATCCACAAGAGATGTTTTAAAGCAACAAATAAAGAGATAAAAGCCCCCAAAGGGTCTCACGGAGCAGCTGAAGGAGTGGGAAGGTGACTCTGTGCTGGCCAAATAAAATTCACCAACCCCCAGGAGGAAGTTTGCTGAAAGTGAATGTTTTTAAAACATTGTCTGGAGCCTCCAACAAAAACAGCCTGGCAGGATGAGAGCAGTGAAAAGGGCTCCTCACCCCAGAGATAAAAATAGCCTTTTCCAAGCCTTCCTCTCACTGCCAGGGTGGGAAGGGAAGGTGACTCCAGAGCCTTCACACCCCCCTCCAGGTGAGAGCCAAGGAGAAACTGTGGGAAATGAACAGATCTGAGCCATGGAATGGCTCAACAGCATCACCCCCCAAACCAGGGATGTGCTGGAGCTGCTCCCCAGCCAGCACAGGGCTCAGGGATGAGGGGCTCTGGCAGGGCTGTGCCCCACAGGAGAGGTGAATCCAGCTTTGCAGGACACCAACAGCAAAGCAAATGTTCAGTAGCACCGTGGCAGTGAAAGCAAATCTCATTCTCCCCAGATTTTGCCCCCTCAGCAGCACCCACAAGTTGTTTGCCTTCCATGGGCTGCCTGGGCAGAGTTCAGAAAAACACAGACACAAAACCTGGCAGCCAAGGGTTGAAAGAGCTTTGCTTTGTTCCACTGTGCTGAATTCCCTGGGTAATACCACTCAGCTCCCCGGGATTGGCACGGCTTTATTCAGCTGCCAAAAATGAACCTAATGCAAAGCACAAGGTCTCCAGGACTCGGCCCTGCTCCCTTTGCTGGGGGAAGAGGCAGCAGGAACAAGGTCCCTGTTCTCTGTCCCCTCTGGGCACACTCCAGCCACAGCCAGGATGCCCCAGCCCATAAGGAAAAGTTTAGAATGATGGAAAAGAATAAAATATCCCAAGCTGGAAGGAACCTGCAAGGATCATGGAAGTCCAGCTCCTAAATCCTAAATTTAAGTCCTGCTCAAGCTGGAAGTGGATGCAGCTCAGGCAAGTCCTGCTCAACACCTGAAGGGCAACATTCCCAACACATCCCTGGAAGGGCTCAGAAACCACACGGATGTGACACCTGGGGACACCTGGGGACGTGGTTTAGTGGCCTTGCTTGGTCTCTGAGGGCTTTCCCAACCTTCTCAAGGATTCTGTGGCTCCCTGCAGGACTGACACTGCACAGGGACCTGGGCCCTGCCACGCTGCAGAAGCTGCTCAGCTCCGAGGAAGTTTTGTGTCTAAATGGGTCAGCCCTGCTCCAGGAGCACCTTCATCATTTTGCTATCAATATTTAATGCCCAGCAAAGCCCAGAGCTGCCTCCTCCATCACAGCTTGTCCTGCCCAGCACCATCAGGGGTTTCAAGAGCCAAGAAAGAGCCCAGATGGTAAAATCAGGGGGAAAAACCAGTTTCCACCTGAAGGCATTTGGCTTCTCCTGGCTGTCATGGCAGAGGATGAGGGGACCCAAGTGCCAGGACAAGAGCTCTGAACATCTTTGTATGGGGGTTTGGGTTTGAGGAGAACTGGGATGAGGATGCACAGAGCACCCCAGCACTCTGTCAGTGGCCACCAGTGGCCACCCCTGCAAGGCAGGGCCATCCTCAAGTGCCCAGGGCTGGGATCTCCACTGAGGAGCCAGAAGGGTCCCCCAGCCCCCTCCCCACAGCCAGGGGACACCGAGGGGCTCAGCCCAGAGGAGCTGGGAGCTCTGCCTGCCCCGTGCCCTGCCCTGCCACCCGAGCAGCAGCCCTGAAACCAGGAGCAGGCTCAGCACTGAGGGCAGAGCTCTGGGGAGCAGCACCCAACCCAGGCAGGAGCTGCTTCCTAACACCTCAGGAGCCACGTGCCTGCAGGTTCCCATCTCCTGGGAGGCCAGGAATGCTCTCCCAGCAGCATTCCCAGCTCCGAGCCCACCATGGAGCCCTGGTGGCACAGATGGGAGCAGTGGCACCCATCCCTGGCAGGCTCAGAGCCCCCGGGGTGCAGCTGGCAGGGCTGGGCTGCAGGAAGCCTCAAGGCAGGGAGCACACAGGGCGTGGAATTTGGGGTGCCACGGGCTGGCTCCTTCCTCCTCTGCCGCACACGTCACCCCTCCACTGCCAAACACAGCAAAGCAGCCTCAGTTTCCCTCCTGAACCACATGAGGAAGAATTGCTCCCATCCCTCTGGACCTGGATGGAAGGAGGAGAGGCTGTGGTGTCACAGTAACGTGGATTACAGCTGATGGGGAGCAGAGGATCCTCGGGAATTCTGTCCAGATTTCTGCACCACAATTCAGCTTCGAGCTCGGGGTGTTGTTAGGCAAACAGCTCTTGAAACACAGAGCTACTCACACACCACTGCAAACCCATCTTCCGCATGAAAAAACGGCTTTAAAATGAAATGGAGGTTGGGCTGCAAACGGCAATAATCTCATCTGGCAGGAGGAGACAGAGCTGTCTTCGGGGGAAGGAAGAATTGCCAGTCCCTGCTTTCTGCAAAAAGACAATCCTGGGCAAGGGATGAGCGGGGAGGGGGCAGAGGGAGCTGCCCCTGCTCAGAGCCGGGTCCGGGGCTCCGGGCAGAGCCCAGCCCGGCAGCGGTGCCGGGTCCTGGAGTGAATCAGCACCGGCAAAGGTGGGATCACGTTGGCGGAAGGTGCCAGCAGCCTCCGTCTCCTCTGTAATTACTCCCCGTGTGTAGGCAGCTGCCTGTAGTGGCAGCATCGGCTCGGGGGCGGCTGACAGCTCCTCCAGCAGCTCATTAGCACAGTCACTCCGAGGGTGAGCGCTGCTTCTGCAAAACCATGACAATGGGCTCCCCGGGCAGAGCCCTCGGGAGAAGCCGCAGCCGGGGGGAGCCGCTGCCAAAGCGGCTGAGACGGGCACGGGAGGAGCGGAGCGAGGCTCGGTGACCCGCCCTGGGCACCCACGGGTCAGCGGCATCGTCCCCTCCTGCCCACGGCAGCGTTCGGGTTCCTGCACAGGTCAAAAAAACACCTGGGTAATGGGGATTGAAGCGCTGGGACTGGTTTTGGATTCAGAGCCTCCAAAGATTAAGGAGATGCAGAAGAGCCCCCAGATGTCCCGCTGGGCTCAGGGGTGGCCAAAGTCCCCAAGGGAACAGGGACACGCCAGGTTCTGGAGGCACCACACATCTCCAGAGGCCAAGAAAAGCAGTGTTGGCTTCCAGGAGCCTCTGCTCACCACAGGGAACACCACCAGAGCCAGGAGCATCCTCCTCCAGCACCCAGACTCCGATTTTGGGTGGACCCATCAGATTTTCACCAGTTCCATCTTCTCATTCGCTGCATCTGGCAGTTCCCAAGGAACTGAGGTGTTCAGTGACTGATGGACACCTGTGGGCTCCTCCCAGCCCATGTGCGGCTCTTGGGGCCACCCTCAGCCCTTGGGTGCTGATGGAGCTCCGGGCCGAGGGCTCTGCCCAGGGAAGAGCCGGGCCAGCACTCGCCCCTCAGCTCTCGTTTTTTGGGGGGATTTGCTCCACTCCAGCTGGGACGGCACCGACTGCCCCGAGCCCTCCCTAAGGGCCGTGCCCGGGGAGGTGTGACCTGCTCCCCAAACCCGTCATTAGCCCCGCGCTTCCAGGACTACACACCTCAAACAACAACTGAGTCACCGCCGGGGCTGCTCCCAGCCCCTGTCCCAGCAGGGCCAATGCACAAACACTGCGAACACTCTCGGTGCCAGCTCTGCCCCAGTCCAAGGGCAGCCTGCACGGTGGCATGAGCTGCCTGCCAGGGTGGGAGGGAGCCCCAGAGACCACAGCAAAATGTCACCAAGATTCAGAGCAGCCAAGATTTTGGGTGCCACAGCTCTGCCTGAACAGCTGTTACACCCCAGAATCTCCAAAACCAAGACTTCAGAACTTCACAGCCTCGGTACTTTTTGTACTACATTCCTTTTCTTTTTTTTTTTTTTTCCTGCTCTGTGCTCCCAGGTAACTCAATCCAAGCCCTTAAATCACAGGAAATCGTGCAAGCTTCCCAGTTTAACAAACGACATCCTGCGTTACACGTTAGACTAGAGCAGTTTCATTAGTCTTGGTCTCAAGACCCAGCAGAGCAGAAACCGCTTCCTTCGGGGGGGGGAATTAAACCACATAAATTGTTGCATTTTCTCTGGACAGAGGGACCAAAGCAGAAGGGAAAAAGGGAGAGATTCCCAAACTCCAGGGGATGGGGAAAGCTCTGCTGGCCCTGGTTTGGGGCAGAGCAGCGAGGGACGGCGGCAGCTCCGCTCCGGGGTGATGCGGGGACAGCGCTGCCCACGCCGGGACCGGGCATCCCCACGGGGCTCCCGGTGCCCGGGGAAGGCTCGGCGGTGCCCGGGGGTGCCCCTCGCCCCGTGCTGGTCCCAGCCGGCTCCGGGCACATCCCAGGAGCGGCCCCGACGGCGCCTCCGCCCGCGCCCCGCGCCCGCTCTGCCCCCGCGCGTCCCGGGGAGGGAGAAATTCAACAACGAAAATAACTCAAGGAACAGGAAAAGGGCGAGACGCGGCGCCGGGCACCTGTTGCGGACTCACTCACCTTGTAGACATTCTCGGTGAGGCGGTGCACCTCCTCGGAGCGGGCCATGCCGGGCGGGCCGGGCAGCACCATGGGCGGCGGTGCGGGGAGCGGAGCGGGCGGAGCCGGGCGCGGGTGCGGGGACAGCGCGGAGCGGCGGCCGTGGTGCCTTTTATCAGCTCCCGGGGGCCGTGCCCGCCCCGATCCGCCCCGCACCGCCCCGCGGGGAGGAGCCGGCCCGGAGCGGGGCTGGCAGTGACGGGAGGGATGCTCCGCGCTGTGCCCCCAGTGCCACATCCCATGCCCGTTCCCCATTCCACGGCCCTTCACATTCCATGTCCCTCCTCCACCCCATAACCCACCCCACACTCCTGCCGTACCTCACCCCACAGCCCACGACACAAAACTGTCCCCCAACTTTGTCCCACACCTCTCACCGTGCCCCACAGCCCAGCCCCTGCTGGACCCCCAGTCTGGGGCTGTGCAGTGGGGATGGGTGAGGTGTGCCTGATGTTTCTGGGGTTGGGAAAGGGGGTGCACATTGCCCAGGGGGGCCAGGAGAGCAGAGGTGGGATGAGCCATCACCAGGATGTACAACTTGGGATGCTCAGCCCTGCCAGCCCTGCTGGCCACCTCGCTGTCCCCTGGCTGTCCCTGGCCAGCCGGGAGAACCAGGATTCCCATGGGGGCTCCTGCCAGAGCTCCCGGCTGCCAGGTCCCTTTGGGACATCCCAGCCGTGCATCCATCCCTCGGGCCAACAGCAGTGACTGCCACCCTGTCCTGAGGGACACGAGGAGCTGGCCCCTGCCCTGGAGCCAGTGGCCCATCCCTGTCCTCCAGAGCCGTGCTTAAATGGCCAGGCTGAGCCTTCCTCCCCCTGCTCTCTGCTGTGAGAAGCAGTGAAACAGTTAAACAGCTGAGTGTGTTATTTTCCATCACATCCATCAATTCCGAGAATGAGGAGCCCGGGTCGATGCCTTGGTCCCAAACCTCCCGTGTCTGTTCCCCTTCCCGCTCTCCCTCCCAGCCCTGGCAAGGACCAGGAGGGCACCACCACCAGCTGCTCCCTCTGGCTGCTCTTGGGTCCCATTTTGGCTTCTGCCTCAGAGCTTCCACACCCCAGAGCACAGCAAAGAATTTACAACCCCTGAGAAGGATTTTTCTCATGTGCCTGGTGTAACCAGTTAACCCTTTCCCCACTGGGGCTGAGGAAAGGGAGCAGCTGTGGGACCAGGGTGACAGGACTGCCCTGGAGATGTTCCCAGGGAAGTGCTGGGACACCACGGTGCCACTTTTCCCTCTCCATCCCACGTGGCCAGACCACACAAGGATGCCCCTCCTTCAGCCAGACACCAGCACCTGGCTGCCTTTCCAGCATTGGTGAAGGATTCAGGATCGAGCATCCAGGAGTAGAGTGCCTCTCTCTGCATCTCCATCACCTTATTTTTAGTTACGTTATGTAAGTTCTTCGCTACGTCATGGATGTGGGGGGTTCTTGCATCTAATTCCAGTGTGACAGCCCAGCAATTCAAACAAGCTGTTCCTCTGGTGAGGAAGATAAAAGGATTTGTAATTTCTGATAATAAAAGAGGCCTTTTGGGACGGCCCTCAGAGAATCTCTTCCATCTAGGCCTGCTCGCAGACAGCCGCTCCACTTTCTTCCCGTGCTCTCCTTCTCCTTATCCCCTGGATTCTGAGTGCTGAAAAACCTTTCTCCCTCACGTCTCCCTGCTCCCAGAGCAGCTCCACGCCTGGAAGCAGCCAGGAGAGTTCATTTCCCCACAGCCGGAGCCACGTGGAGCAAATTATCCTTGTCCCTGGCCATGTCCCCACCTCTGGGCTGGCAGTGGCCGCCGGGGCTGCCCGTGGTGCCCGAGCCCGAGGCAGCGCTGCCTCCCCGCAGCACCCTGGGAATTCTCAGCAGGAAAAACCTGCCGCTGCCTCGTGCCGTAGCGTTTGCTTCGATTGCCTTTTATTTTATTTTATATTTTTTTTTTATTTTTTTCCTCCCTGGTTGCTGCTCGCTGCCTTTTTGTCAGGGTGATTCACTCCCCGGGGCTCGGCGGCAGCTGGAGCGTGCCCAGGGTAACCATGGTGCCAGCGCTGCCGTGGGCTACCTGAGCCCCTTCTCCGGGTGCCCTTCGGAAGGCGGGACCCTCCGGCGCGGGGGTGCGGCAGCAGCGTGGGGAAAGCACCACGCCAGACCGGGAACAGCGGTGGGATGAGCAGGCGGCAGCCCCGGCGCTGGCACGGCCCCATCCCCGAGCGATGCCACCCCGGGGTGACGGCACAGCGGCACACGCGGCACCGGCCACCTCCAGCCCCGGGTGGAGCGAAGTTGCTGTGGCAACAATAACTTATGTAATCCACCCCGCTCGGCTGCAGGTGTGGGGAGGAAATTGTGCTATTTTCGAAGTTTCATTAGGTTCCTTCTTAATTAGCAGCGTGGCATGGAGCCAGCGCTCCCGGCCGGGTCACGCGCCCGGCACAGGGACGGAGGAGGGGACAGGGCAGGGATGGCCGGGACAGGGACAAGGGAGGGCAGGGACAACCGAGAGAGGGACAACCGAGGCCAGCGGTGGCCGGGACAGTGACAACCGGGGGCAGGGACAACCCAGGACGGGGACAAGGGAGGGCAGCAGCGGCCGGAGCGGTGATGTCCGAGGGCAGTGACAGCAGCTGCGCCGAGGGACAGTTCGGGCTCCCAGCCTGGGGACACTCTCCTTGGGGACACTCTCCTTGGGGACACTCTCCCTGCTCCAGAAATGCCGCCCCGGTGGCTGCCAGGGAGGGACAGGGAGGGAGGCGCTGCCCAGGGAGGGGAACGTGGCACTGCGGCGTCACCGAGAGCTGCCACATGCTCAGCGACCCGGGAAGCCTCCGGTGACGCGGAGAGAGGAGAAATCAAGGTGGGTTGGAATTCCTGGTGCACTGGAGTGGGATGTGTCACTGGCCAGCACAGAGAGGAGGAAGCAGAGGGACCACCATGGCACCAGAGCTGGTTTTTGTCACAGACCCTGAGAAAATGCTCAGTTTCCCAAGGAAGGTCCAACCCCAGCTGCTCCAGGTGGTCACTGGGTTCTCCTGGCACTGCCAGAGCAGGAGAGACCAGGCAGGGAACTGGACCAGGCTGAAGAAGCCGCCTCCATCTCCATCATCTCCATCATCTCCATCATCTCCATCTCCATCTCCCACTCAGCCCCACTGGCTCCCTGGCAGCCCTTGGCTCTCTGTTCCTCCTTTCCAGGGTGTGCTGAAGGGTCCGGCTGAGCCCACCCAGCAGGGCAGGGCAGGGCAGGCAGGTGTGTGCCCGAGTGTCACCGTGTTAATGACATTCCCAGGAATTGCCTGTCCTGTGGTCCCGGGCAGATGGCTTCTCCATCGGAGCCCTGACATCACTGCAAGCCCTCCCTGTGCTCTGTCAGGAAGTTTTTATTTCTAAAACAATCTAAACGTGATTTTTCTGACATCTGGGGGTCACTGGGGAATTGGCTGGGTGTGTTTGAGCCAAACCAACCCCCCGTGAGCACAGGACGTGTTTTCCCTGAACACCTCACTCAGTTCTGTCCCCTGCCCTCCTCAGGGGTCCCTCCTCAACCCCAGGCTGTCCCCACACTTCCATTTGAGCACCTCATTAAGGAGCTGGGCCAGCAAACCCCACACCAGTACAGGTCTTGGAGCATCCTCCCAAACTCAGCCTCCCCTTTGCAGTGCAGTCACTCACCAGGATTCCAGCAGGTGCCTCGAACTGACAGCGAGTAGGTTTAGGTTAAATATTGGGAATAAATCCCTCCCTGGCACAGGTTTCCCAGAGCAGCTGTGGCTGCCCCATCCCTGGAAGTGTTCCAGGCCAGGTTGGACAGGGCTGGGAGCAGCCTGGTCTAGCAGAATGTCCCATGAGCTTTGAGGTCCCTTCCAACCCAGCCCATTCCACGATTCTGTCACTGCTGGTGCTGGTGGGAGCTGTTCCCTGAATCATCAGGGGGTCAGGACTTAGAGGCTGTCCCTGGGTTGGAGATGTCCTCTGTGTGTGCCAGCAGCTCCCAGCAGTTAAATCCCACCAGCAAAGCCTTTTATTGGGGATTAGCCAAGGATGAACAATCCAGGCCCTCACTGTGCAGGGTGGGAGCTGCAGGGCTGGATCCAGCCATTCCCAGCTCCCACCTCACACTTGGGAGAGTGGGACTCACAAAGTGGGGAGGGGTGATTCCACCAGGGGGAAACTGAGGCACGACAAAGAACCTGGCCTCTCATCATCCCAAGCTTTCCCTAATCCCATTGGAAGCAGCTTCTGGGCAAGGCTCCAGCAGTGCAAGCAGCTGTGCCCAGGACTGGGGGACAGTTCTGCCCCCTGATGTGACACACGTGTCACTCTCGGCCTCGGAGCACCTGGCCCTGCCCATGGCGAGGGCAGCAGAGCCTGGGGACAGGGTGCCATGGCTGGGGACACTGCTGGCAGTGCCCAGAGGGACCCCAGGACCCCTGTGCTGGCAGTCCCGCATCCTTGGCCGCGGGATTCAGGGCGGGGCTGCTGGTCCGGGACACTGCTGGTCCCCCTGTCCCCCTGGAGCTCTGACTGGGGGCACAGCCCTGCCCCGTGTCCCCTGCGTGTCCCCCGTGCCCTGCCATGGGCCAGGCTCGCTGCAGAGGCCGCAGGAGCCCCGGCTGTCCCGGGAGAATCCCGGGGAGCGCAGGCACAGGGAGGAGCCGGAATGACGGAGGAAACGAGGAGTGGGTGGGAGAACAAAGCGCTGCGGATGCAGAGCTGCGCTGGGGCCTGGGAGGGTGCAGGCACCGAGTGGCGATGGGGGATGCAGGGGGGCTCTGCCCGTGGGACAGCCGGGCACATCCGTGCTGCCATCCCTGGGGACTGGGCAGGACTGGGAGAGCTCCACAGCGAAGCCAGGCTGTGCTGGGGGCTGGGGGAGCAGAGCTCTGTGCTCTGGGGGGGCCCCAAAACGCGCCGGGTGCCCCTCGCTGCCAGGCTGGGGCACAGCCCGAGCCCCTGTCCCTCCCCAGCTGCCTCGGTGCCTGTTTCACGAGTGAGTAATGCTGAATTACAGCGCTAAGGAGCTCTCTGGGGATCCTTCGGAATAACAGGAATAGTTTATGCGATTTGCATAATTGGTATGATGGGATTTTGCATCACGTTGCTGAGCTCGGGGAAAGCGTCCGGGGCAGAGCCGAGGTGGTGCTGGGGGCTCTGGGCACCCTGGGGGGCTCTGGGCACCTTGGGGGGCTCTGGACCAGCCAGTCACAGAGAGGTGGCAGAAGAGACAGGCTCAGGTCCTGCTGTCACCCCCTGCCCTTAAGCTGGCACTGGGCTGGTGACAGCCCCAGAGTCCCTCGGGCACGTTTGCCCATCCCATGGCCACTTCTGATGGCCCAGCCCAGCTCCTGGGAAGCAGCACAACGCTGGATCTCGGGCCTGAAGGACACGGTGCCAAATTGCCCCTGTCCTGTCCTGTCCCAGCCCCAAGGCCACCCAGCCTTGCTGGACACGGCAGCTCTGGGCTCACAGCACAGCTCAGCCCTGGCCCTGCACTCCACTCGTTTCCTCTCTCGCTAATTAATCCCAGAGCCTTGGGCTGTGGCTCCCCCAGCCCCGGAGCAGCCTGGCATGGCTCTGCTGTGCTGCCTGGCAGGGGACAGGCTGGGGACACCCATCACGGGGCAGTGCTGGCCCTCGGGGACACCCACGACTTGAGAAGCCACATTCCAGGGCAGGGCAGGGCAGGCAGTTTGGGGCAGTTAAAGCGATGACACGGGGACAAATGCCACCTCCCAGTGCCCCTTCCACTCATCTCCATGGGTGCTGTGTCCCCCAGGAGGAGGAATTGTGGCTCCCAGGTCAGAGCAGGCCCTGCTGAGGAATCCCAGCCCTGCCAAGCACCAGCAGCTCCCGTCTGGCACCAGGAGCCAGCAAAGGTCACATTCCCGGCCGTGCTGGGACAGACCTGCTTTGTTCCCAGCCCTGCTCTAATTAGGAAACTGATTTTTTTTTTTTTCCCACAGTTGAACTATCAAAACTTGGGCTTGTTCCCTGCCAAAGCCTCTTCTGTGGCTCTGCTGGTGACTCAGCGTGACACCAGGGCATTGAGAATATGGAAGAGGGAAAGGGAAGGAGCCAGGGGTTGGTTCCCAGTGGGTCCCAGTGGGCAGTTGGGATGGGGGGGTTGGCACTGCGAGGTCGAGCACCCCAATGGTGGCCCCAAATGTGGGAAGCACCCCTGGGACTCCCACACAGGGCAGGGCAAGCTCAGGGTGTGGATAATGAAGGGGAGGAGGAGGAGGAAGATGAAAGATCCTCACCAAACTCTGCCTGGTCCTGAGGGTTTGCCAGGGAGGGTGGGGGACAAGGGACACTGTGAGTTCATTCCCCTGGGGACAGGGAGAGCCCCCAGGGCCTCTGAGCCCCTCGTGCCAAAAAGCAGCAGGACCCAGATGAGAGGCCCAGGGACCTGACACCTCTGGGGCTCCCAGCTCTGTTTTGTTTTTCCATGGGTGTTCCAGGAAACATCGGAGGGAGCAGAGCATGACGGCGTGTCAGGGGTGCAGCCGTGTTGGGGTGCAGCCGTGTTAGAATGTGCAGCTGTTTTGGGGGCTGTGCAGCTGTTTTGGGGTGGGCTGGCAGCCCCCCCTCCCTGGCGGCGCTGCCATCCAGCTGTGTTGGCATAGAAACTGCCGGGGCTCTGCCGCCGCCTCCCATTACACAATTCCCTCCCAGCCCGGGGAAGAGGCTGCTGAGGAGGGGAGGCAGCTCCAGGCCTGTGCCCCAAACCAGCCTCGTGCCAGCTGTGGGCACACAGAGGGGTGGGGGTGGCTGGGCAGGGAACGGGGCTGGTGCCCAGCTGCCTCCTGGACAGCAGGAGTGAGAGTCTATTCAAAGGCGCTGCTGCTTGTTTAACTCTGGAATTCCTGCTCCCCCCAACCTCTTCCCTCCCTCACGGGGTGTTGGATGAAGGCTCTGGCCAGGCAGATCCCACGGGATGGGGCAGTGTCCCCATGGAACAGGGACTGTCCCTGTGCAGGGGAGTAGGGAATGGGCAGCACCAGCTCCCAGCAGAGCTCCTCATTTCCCCCTTCCCCTGCATGGGGCTGGGATCCCTCACTGCCACACAAACTCTTGGGAAGAGCACAGAGATCCAGGAGGAGTGACTGAATTCCCTGTCACTGTCACACGTGCTGTGCCTGCCCCTGCCCCAGCAGGTTTGTCCTGGGCATTGTCCGGTGGCCAAAACCTCTGCAGAGCCTCAGGAGAGGGGCCAGGGCTGTGCCAGGGCTGGGCTGGGGGCTCCAGGAGGGAGCAGGGGCAGCAGCTGAGGCAGGAGCCTGAGGTTTGTTCCTGTTCTCCAGGGTTTCATTAACAGCGAGCAGCGCTGCCTCCACACTCCTCTCACTCAACATCTGGCCAACCCAAACACAGCTGGAAGAGCTCTGTGTGCAGCCCTCCCGGCGGGAGCTGGCTCCCACCCCGCTGCCACAGCTGAGGGGCACGGCGAGTGTTTAATTAAACACTGCAAACTCGGCTCTGCTGCTTTCCCAGGGCTGGGGGGGATCCGGGGCCATCCCGCTGCTCCCAGCAGCAGCAGAGACGTAAACCCAGAGTAACAAGGGAGCAGCTGCTGTCCAAGCACAGCCAGAGGCTCAGGAATGTCCCGGGTGGGGCCTCACCCCGAGTGTGGGGTGTCCCCAGTCCCTGTGCCCATCCCAAACGGGGACAGTCACACTCAGGGGCTTGGCTGGGGCGGGCGCTTGGACAATTCCATGGGGATGGAAGCACCAAGTCCTACAGAGGGAGGCAGAATGGGATGGGACAGTGAGGTCACTGAGGAGGGACCCTGAGTCAGTGCCTGGTTCAGGCACTGTCCCAGCCCTGTCACCTCCCAGGGTCATGCAGGACCAAACAGGATTGTTCGTGTCACACACGGAGCCTGCTCTGAAGTTTCCTGCCCACATCTCTCCCAGGAGCAGGGAGGGCAGGGAGGAGGAGGAGGAAGGCAACTCCTGCTGCTCCAGAACACTCCCAGGGCACACACGAGGCTGGGGAGGAGTCGCTGGAGCCACCGGAGCCAGTTTATTGTCCCAGGGCAGCACAGAGGTCACAGCCCACCCCCGGCCCTTCCTCCCGAGGAGAGCCGGCACAAGCTGCTGGGGCAGGGATTAGCAGAGGAAGCTGCGGCCAATCTGCTCCCAACTTTCCTGTTGGATCACTGAGTGGCCCCTCCACTGTGGCAAGGAATGGAAGGAGCTGCATTAACCCCTTCAGCACCAGCCCAGCTCCCTCCCCACACCCAGCAGGAGCCGGCACAGCGTTCCTGGGGAGGGCTGGCTCGTGTCTCCTGCGGCCAGGACGTTCATCAGAAAGCAAAGCAGAGCACAGGGACTGCAGCACGCCCTCCTCACCCCTCTCCCGTGGCGGTGCCAATCCCAGCGAACAGGGTTTTCCCAAAGCACCGGCAATGGAAGCTGTGCTCCCAGTTCAGATCCCCTCCAGACGTTCCTGGCAGCGCTCTGGGCTCTTTCTGTGAATGCAGATGGATCAGGGGCTCGTTCAACAGCCCAGCACCGGCTGGCACCGGGCTGAAGGAGCAGCACTGCCCGGGAATGCTCCTGCCAGCACGGCACTGCTGAATCCAAGGCTCTCTCTGGTGGGAATGGGCTGCGTTGCAGCACAGCCGGGACTGAGCACAGAGAATAAAGCACGGGGAGCACAGCAGGACCCTGCTGTCCCTACAGCGCTGGGGTGACCACAGACACAGCCCTGGCATCATCCAATGGCCCGGGCAGCTCCAGGGGCAGCAGCTGCTTTGCCAGCACCGCGCTGGTGTCAAACACAGGGCCGGGGACAGTGGGGTTGGTATGGAGCATTAGTGAGGAGTGGGAGTGGAAATGGGGCAGCTCCAAGGCACTCCCTGCCTTGGGGACACACGAGGATGCCCTGGTCAGCCTTCGGAACACAACAGAGAGGACACGGAGAGCACGACTCCACCCAGAGCTGCCGCTGGCCCAGCACCACGAGGGAGCACCCCAGTCCCTGGGATCACTTTTTGTCCAGCACCACATCCCACAACCCCCACAAAGTCTCCAAGGACCCTCTGGTCCTTCTGCTGTCACAGAAATGCAGATTAGGGGTTGTGGCTTCCAGAAGGTAATCAATAAAATCTGCAGTGTCCTGAAGAGCATCTGCAAGCTGACAGGTGAGCTCGTTCCAAGAGCAGCCAAATCTGCCACCCCCTGACTGCCCAGGCAGCGTTCCAGACCCTTCAGTGTCCAAGTGAGTCCTCACAGGGGATGGGGCTCCCTCGAGCTGCTCCCAGAGCACTTGGCAGTGGTGATTTCTGCAGTTTCAGGCCCCAGGTCCGGCAGCACAAGCCCGAGGAACGTGTCTGAGTCCTGAGGAAACATCCAGCAGGAGCAGCTGAGCAGAGTCCGTGGGATCCATCAGTCCTTCCCAAAGGCCAAAGGGAGCTCTGCAGCAGAGCCACGAGGAGGAATCCTGGCTCCTAACCCGGGCAGGAGCTCCTTGCTGGCACTGCAGGGCTCCAGGGCTGGCTCCTCAGCACAGCTCACAGCACATCAGGCTTTGCCCAGGCACAGCCACTGCAGCAGGAGCAGGGCTGAGCACCCAGGCTGAGCCCGGCCCAAATCAAACCCCTGGGGCTGGTTCTGCATGAGCCAGGGCAGAGTCCAGCCCAGAGCTCAGCACTCCAGCAGTGCCCAACGTGCAGCAGGACAGGGACAAATGGAGCCAGGACAGGGAAGGGACAGAGGGACAGGGACACCAGAGCACTGCACAGGGCTCCTGCTCACCCAGCCCATGGCCAGCACAAACACCTCACTCTGAGCCTGGGATGTCCTGGGATTTGGCCAGAGCAAAGGCAGACTGACCACCAGAATCAAACCTACAGAGAAAAGTTTGGCTTTGGATGATTTAGAGTTGCTGTTTAATCCCGAGACAGCGCAGCTGAGTGAGTTTGGAATTTAAGTTACAAAAAAAGAAAGCACTAGAAAATAATCTTGATACAAGAGCGATAATCAGCTGAGGTTCCCCACCCTGTGCAGGGAATCCTGCTCCACAATCCACCCAGCACAGCTGGGATGCTGCCAAGGCATTGCCTGTCCCCAGCACACACTGGGAGGGCAAACTGTCCAGGGTGAAAGTTTCGTGGGGGAATCCCCAGCACTGGGAGTTAAGATGCTGCCACCGGCTCTGGCTTTGGCCTGTTCTTGATGGGTGACACTTCTGTGGAAGGAAAAGAAATTTGTTACAGAATCAGGGAATGCAAATATCCTGCAGCCATCTCCTGAGGAGGATCCAGGGCTCAGAGTCCACTCTGCAGGGCAGAAAGTGCTTGCACAGCTCCTGAACTAAGAGAAATTGGTTATAAATAATCCCCCATTCTCACGTGGAAATGCCCCTTTTCAGTGAAGAATTACAGAACGTGCAAAGGCACCAGCCCAGGGACAGATCCTGGGCAGGAGCAGTTCCAGCTCTGCCCTCACCCCTGGGACCTGACACCCCTGGGCCGTGTTTTGTTTGGCCTCAGTGCTGACACCTGAGCCCTGTTTAGGAGTAAACAAGCTCCAAGGAAACCAGCCCCATTTCCCACATCCCAGATTGCTCCTGGGCAGATTCCACACAGGGAAATGGCTTCTCCCAGCTCCTGTGAGAGACAGCTCAGGGCTCTGCTGTCCCACAAGAAGAGTCTTCACCAGTCTGAGTTTTCAGCTCCTCAGCACAGACACCTGATGAATCCCAGTGGGCTCCTTCCCTGCCAGCCAGGGACACCAGGGCCTGTTTGGTCACCTTCTTATTGAGCTCTCCCACTTCCCAGCTTCATTCCCACACAAATCCATCCACTGAGGCTTTGGGTTGCTCAGGAACACTCAGGGACCATCAGCTGTGTGGAGCTCGTGCTCTGACAATCCTGGAACTGTGGGACTCCAGTGATCCTCATCCAGCTGGTTCCAAATCACTGGGAAGTGAGGTGGGAAGAGCTCCAAGTCATCCCAAGCCTCAGAGAAATCCAGAGTTGTGCAGGGTGAATCCAACATCCACAAAAATCCCATCCCTGCGCTGTGAGGACGGGACCAGCCCGGGGCTGTGGGAGGAAGCCTTGCCTGGCTCAGGCAAGGAAGGAATTCCTCATGGAGCCTCCTGATGGAATGAGGTGTCTCAGGGCAGGAGTTTGCCTCAGAGCAGGTACAGGATGGGACAGGAACAGCAGGGGTCACACAGGGAGCTCCCCAAGGGAATGAGCAGATGCTGATGGAACAGCGAGCAGAGCCTCAGGTGCTCCTGGAGCCAGGGCTCAGCTGGGCCTGTCCCCACTCCAGGAGCTGCTGCTCCTGCCCATTTCCCACGACACTTACACTGGGAGAGGGTCTCAGACCACTGCACAGCACAGGAGCACGAGAAGCCAAAGCTGTGCAGGCACAACATACCTGGGATCTTCTCCGGGAGTGGCTCTGAAGGAACTTCTGGAAGCTCCAACTGTTCCTGCAAGGACGTTACAGACAATGTGTCACAATGTGTCACATGTGCCACAGACCCCAGCTGTGGGCAAAGACCAGGCTTGGCAGTGTCCCAGATACCCCCCCAGACTGAGCTCTGAGAGTAGGAAAAAGGTACCTGAACTGCTGTTAAAAACAGCTTCCTAATAATGTGGATTTCAATCCCAAAAACATCAACCCCACCTGAGTAATAGCATTTAATTCTTCTAGAATGGCATCTTCATCCTCCTCAGTCAGGCTGCCAGCCAGGAGCTCGTCTATTTGCTGTGGGAGAGAGGGAAGGACATCACATTCCCAGCCTGGTGGACACAGTGCCCATCCCAGCAGCTCTGTGCTCCCAGCTCCTCATTGTACACACCCTCTGGTACTCCACAGCATCCTGGGTTTCTCCTATTATCCTTTCCACTTCTTCTATGGACATCACCTGAAGGGCAGAGCCAAAATCCAGGTGTGGGAGGGGCCTGCCTGGAGCTGCAGGCCCCTCTCAAGTGCCCCAGCCACAAGTACCTGGTGCATTTTGTTCAGACACTCGTTGCCTATTTTCAGGCCCTCGATGACCTTCATTTCAATCTGGGTGAATTCAATGTCCTGGACCTGGAGTGGGAAGCAGAAAGGGAAGAGCCTTGGTCACATTTGGCCAGGCATTGGCACAGTGAATCCTGGAGGGATTTTACAGATATGGGGATGGGGCAGCTGGGGAGCGACTGGGCTCAGAGGGCTCTTCCCACCTAAAGAATTCCATGGTTGGCATCATTAGGCAGACACAGGCTGCCAGGACCACCAGAGAAGCTGCAAGGAGCAATCAGTGGAGCCCTTTGTGTCCTGTCAGTGGCACCAGCAGCAGGAAACATCCACACAAAAAGCTCAGCACAGGCAGCTGCACCAGCAGGTCCAACAGCCCGGGAAGTGATTTCACCGGATTTTCCAGCTGCCAGTCCCAGCTGAGACCTCCCCAAACCCAAACACATCCAGTTCTGAAATGACAGGCCTGAGACAAGCCCAGGAAGGCCCCAGTGCAGCCATCCCCCCTGTGAGTAACGTTTCAGCAATTTCCAAAGCACACATTTAACAGGGAGCCTGCAGATTCCAAACACACCACTCTGTGTCTCCAGGGAAGTGGTGGCACATGTACAATTTTGGAAACATGTGCCCTTGGACAGAGGGCTGAACCCTGCCAGTTGGGATGGGATTCCAGGGAATCCAGGGGAGCCCCACCCCAGAACACCCCAAGGCCTCGCTCACCATCCGCTCCAGGTTGCTGATCTGGTTCTCTGTTTTATCCAGAAGCTGCTCCTGGTACCGTTTCTTCTTCAGCAGGAGCATGGCTTTCCTGAGGGACACACAGGGAGGGAAACACGGCGGGGATGAAGCCCAAAGGAGCCCCATCAAAGCCAGGCTTCTTCTGTGCTTCTGCTAAAAGGGGACAACTCGTGTGCAGCCGAACTGGCAGCCCAACTCCTGCAAGGATGAGCAAACTGGGTATTGGGAATAAATCCTTCCCTGTGAGGGTGGGCAGGCCCTGGCACAGGGTGCCCAGAGGAGCTGTGGCTGCCCCTGGATCCCTGGCAGTGTCCAAGGCCAGGCTGGACAGGGCTGGGAGCAGCCTGGGACAGTGAAGGTGTCCCTGCCATGGCAGGGGTGGGATGGGATGAGCTTTAAGGTCCCTCCCACCCAAACCATTCCGGGACTCTATTCCTGGGATTCAGCGGTGTTTCCTCACCGGTGACACCCAGGAGGTGACCCTGCCGCCCCCGCCCCGGCCCGGCGATCCCCTCCCCTCTCCTCCCCTCCCCTCTCCTCACTCTTTCTTGCCATCCCGGAGCAGCTGCCGGGCCAGCGCCCGCTCCCGCTCCAGCCCCAGGCTCAGCCGCTTCTGGTACTGCCGGAGCTTGTCCCGCTGCTGCTTCAGTTGCTGCGGGACAGAGGGACGGACAGAGGGACAGACAGACAGAGGGACGGACAGAGGGATGGACAGCGGTCACAGCACAGCCCTGACAGCTCCAGCGCCCCCTCAAGCAGCGCCGCTGCCCCGCCCGCTCTGTCCCCGCCGTGTCACCGACAGCACCGGGAACGGCTCAGCCCCAGCCCCGCTCCTCCATCGCCGCAGGGAGCCCGGAGCCGGGCCAGGCCGGGCCGGTCCATCCCGGTACCGCTCACAGGCACTGCCCGGTCCATCCCGGCACCGCTCGCCGGCACGGGCCGGTCCATCCCGGTACCCCCCGCTCACCAGCACGGCCCGGTCCTGCTCCGTGACGCGGCTCCGCCGTTTCCGCCCGAACAGGTTCCCCATGGCCGCTCCTGCCCGGCCCGGCCCGGCCCGGCCCCGACGGCGGCCGAGAGGGGCCCGGCCCCGCACAACGCGCAGCGAGCGCCGCAGCGGCGGGAGAGCGCCGCTAGAGGGCGCGCTGGGGACGGGAATACCGGGAACGGGAATAGAAAATAGGGAATGGGGATTAAAATACTGGGAATGGGGATAAAAATACAGGGAATGGGGATTAAAATAGGGAATGGGGATAATAATATCGGGAATGGGGATAAAACAGGGAATAGGAATAAAATAGGGAATGGGGATAATTATATCAGGAATAGGGATAATAATATAGGGAATGGGAGGTACGGGAGGGAGGCTGTAGGGGCTGGGGGCTCAGGGACAACACAGATTCATTCCTAGAGTCATGGAATTGTTCAGGGTGGAAAAGCGCCCTGACTCCATCGTGTCCAGCCATTCCCCGGCACTGCCAGGATCCATTTCTGCATTTCTCCATTTATTCAATTCTGCATTTCTCCATTTATTCATTTCTCCATTTATTCATTTCTCCATTTATTCATTTCTCCATTTCTCCAGGCAGCTCACCCCTCGGAGCGAGCCGGGCTGCAGCCAGGCTCCAAAGCTGCATTTGGGATCGGCGTTCCTGCTGCTCCAGCGGGGCTGGGACACGCATCTGTCACCAACACCTCCCCTGGTACCCCTCCCATCCCCAAATCCCACCCAGCTCCTTCCTGGGCCACAGCTGCCCCCGGCCCCACACAAGGATCCTCACACCACCAAGTGTTTCTGCATTTATTTTTTATTAACCATTTATTTGTCTGTAATCGTTTTACTCTCACATTACAATCGTGTGGGGGTTTTTATATATTTTTTTTAAACTTTATTTTTGTAAAATAAATAGAGATAAGTGAACTTTTAAGGTAGGACGCTCTCCAGATCCTTGGTTAAACTCTGTGATCCCATGATTGAATCTCTGCATCAGACCCGTGGAAGTACAGCCCACACACGCTCGGGTAAAAATCCCAACAGCCCCAATTCCTTAAAATCCCCCGTCCTGGACGTGGGGCTGCACCGGAGCAGGAGCAGCGGCTCCCAGCACGCCAGGAATGTCCTGTTGCTTTCACAAATACACTGATACGAGTTAAAAACCTATTGTTTTTGAAGCTGTGAATGTTAAAGGATTAGGTGAGATCCCAAACTCTGGCTCCACCCCCGCGGACAGCCCGGGAGCGGGTGGGGAAGAGGCACAGCTCTGTTAGACCATAATTCACTTTGGGGAACTTAGAAGTGGGTTTTTTAGGTAGTTTTGAAGTTTAAAGCCTTTGATTCATCATCCTGGGATGTGGCCCTCGGCCTCCCTGACAGGGGACGGGGCTTTGGGCATACCTGACATGGTTTGGGGACCTCTCCCAAGCCACAGTCCCTGACACAGCCTGGGGCACCTGGGGGTGGCCAGGGGGCCCTTCACAGCACAGGGACAGAGGGTCCTGAGCCCTTCCCTCGCTGCATTCCTGCAGCACAGCTGGACTTTGCTGGGAGCCTGCAGATCCCCTGGCCCTGGCTGGGATCCCAGCTGGGAATTCCAGGCCTGCAGTGAGTTCTGCAGCTCTGGAAGGAAACCTGACCTTTGGCTGTGCTCTCCCTTCCACACCCAGCTCCAGCCCCAGAACGGATCCCAAGGGACAAAACATTCATTATTCACACGTGCAAGGTGGGGAGGTGGAGCAGCTGGGACGAGGGTGCCTGGCTCAGAGCAGTGACTGGCTGCCTTCCTCCTCCTCCTCCTCCTCAGTGATTCTCAGTGCCCAGGTGCTTCCATGCCTGCTTCCAGAGGGGCAGGTGAGCCATGGCAGCTCCAGGTGCCCAAATCCTGACCTCACCTCGGTGCACAGCAGCCATGGGGAGCACACAGAGCCCAGGACGGGCCCTGGTCACACCCGTGACTTGCTCCAGGCTCCCTGGGATGTTGGAGATCTTTGTTCCCTTTCTTCCCTCGTTGTCCTGACGTGTAGTTTTGTGGAGTGGGACATCCTGCCCTGCTCTTGTCATCTCCCTGAGCCCCTTCCTGCAGGATCCCTGCCTGCCCAGGCCACCAGGTCCCCACCAGGGCTGTCCTTGCTTCCAGTGGAGAGGCTGCTGCAGGGAGGGAGGGGGAGGTTCATGCAGAGGAGATGCTGCCCTGCCTCCCTGGCAGGTACATCCCGTGCTGCCCTGTCCCAGGAATTGGGTTTGGCACAGGGTTGGCAGCAGCTGGAGGGTCCCATGGAGCTGTAGGTGAGTCTTCACAGTCCTTGAAGAACCCACACTCCAGCAAAACAAGGAACAAAGACTAAAACAAGACCCTTCTCAAGGGCTTTGCCTCATCCAAGTCCTTCCAAGCTCAGGAGCCGTGTTTCTGACAGAGAAGCCAACCACCGGAAACAAAAATAAATGTTCCTTTTCTTTTAGAGGATATAGCTGGAAAACAAAACAAAACAAAATCCAGGAGATTGTCTCTTCCCCTCGTCAAACCCATCAGTAGCTAAGTCAGAAGAACAAATGTTCAAGTTATGGGGTGCAGCAGCAGCCAACACGAAACATTCAAGTCGATGATTTCTCTATGTACAGGGAGGCCCTGCCTGGAGCCGCTCCGGCCGCGCCGTCATCTGATCCTCTTCTCCACCGAGTACACCGAGATGTAAAAGTCATTGCTGCCGACGGCCAGGTGGGGCTGCGGGAGAGCACAGCGACAACAGCACGGTCAGAGCGACAACAGCAGGGTCAGAGTGACAACAGCAGGGTCAGAGTGACAACGGCACGGTCAGAGGGACAACAGCAGGGTCAGAGGGACAACAGCACGGCCAGAGAGACAACAGCAGGGTCAGAGGGACAACATCACTGTCAGAGTGACAACAGCCACGGTCACACCTCACCCAGGCTGGAAAACCCCTCTGACATCGACCTGGGACCGATGCCCACCTTGGCAGTCCAGGTGTTCCTTGGGCACCCCCAGGGATGGGCACCAAACCCCCCTGGGCAGTTCCAACCCCTGCCCTCCCTTTCCATGGGGAAACTCCTGCTGCTGTCCCCCCTGAGCTGCCCTTGTCCTGTCCCCATTCCCTGGGAGCAGATCCTGACTCCCCCCTCCTGTCAGGGAGCTGTGCAGAGCCAGGAGGTCCCTCCTGAGCCTCCTTTTCTCCAGACTGAGCCCCTTCCCAGCTCCCTGAGCCTCCCCTGGTGTCCCAGTCCCAATCCCAGCTCTCCCAGTCTCCCCTGGAGTCCCAATCCCATTCCCAGCTCCCTGAGCTGCTGCTCCTGTGACCAACTCCACGGTCCAGGTGTGGAGCAGTGACAGGCACAGGTGACAGTGACATTCAGCAGGGACACCCAGCTGCTCCACAGCTCTGCAGGAGTTATAGGCCCGTTTCAGCCACAGGGAAAAATTATGGGCACTATTAGTTGCCAACTGCCAACATAATTTCTCTAAATGACTGCAAATCTGCTCGTTAGGAGCCAGTGCCTGGGCTGAAAATGAGAATTTCCTGCAGTGAGGGGACCTGGCCTGGCCGGGCAGGGCTTTGTTTCGCTTGTTTAAAGAGCAAACTGCTCTTCCCATTACATATTAAATACTTGTGAGCTGATCTACAGCTTTCAAAAGTAACTCTTGTAACTCCCTCCAGCTCTCCCATCCATTCACTGTTTTCTCAGCTTTTCCAGCTCCTCCATTTATTCTCCTTCCCGGGTGAGCAAAGTCCACTACATGGATGGGACCTCTCTCCTCCCTGAGCAGATTCTCTCTGTAACTACTGAGAGCCCCTCAGCTGTGACAGACCCCAAAATCTCTTTTTGTTCTGCCTCATTCCAGCCTTTACCAGCCCATGCTTTAATTTTTGCAGCTCTCTCGTTTTCCTGAGCTGCAGCTTTTCCTGCACGGCAGCAGAGCCCAGGCAGGGAGTGAATAAAGACTTTGGGAATTTGGGAGTGTGACCAAGGAGTGTGAGCTGAGCCAGGCTGCAGAGCTGGGATGGGGAGTGGAGCTGCAGGAGGCTGGGACAGCTCCCTTCACTCTGGGGGGGTCTCTGTGCTAAGCCCCGATGGCAGCAGGGACACAGACCCAGTGAGGATGGAAGGCCAGGCAGCTGATGGCTCCCACTCTCTGTCCCATGAAGCCATCGTAGTATTTGATGTTGTTGATCAGCTCTCCATTGCCGTTGTAGATGGCAGTGAACTGGTTCATGGAGCCACTGGAAAGGAAGGGACACAACACACAGTCACTGGGAATGCTGGCAGGGGACAAAACTGCTGCTGCAGCCCCTGGCTGAGCTGTGTGCCAGGCCAGAGAGCAGCCACTTCTCCACGGGAGAGCATTTAAGTGGTGGCCAGAACCACGGTGACCTGTGGTCACCTGGGACAGGAAAGCACAGAGGGCTGATGCCCAAACACACCCAGTGCATCCCAAACAGGCTCCAGGCCACGGGGCTGTGGAGCAGCTGCTGGTCCCTGCTCAGAGCCCAGAAATACAGACACAGAACAGGGACCCACGGCTTCACTAATGGATAAAAAAGGGATAAAGCTCCTGAGCAGCAAACACAGGGAAGGAGCTGCACTGCTGTGCTGGGGTTAAAAACAGGAAAGGGAACAGCACCCCATGAATGATGTCTGTGCAGAGAAATCATCCTCTCCAGGGATCATGGATTCATGGGATGCTCGGAGCTGGGAGAGACCTTAAAGCCCACCTTGCTCCACCTCTGCCAAGGCAGGGATAACTTCCACTGTCCCAGGCTGCTCCAAGGACCCAGGGGCAGCCTGGATCTTCCTGGAACACTTCCAGGGACCCAGGGGCAGCCACAGCTTCTCTGGGCACCCTCTGCCAGGGCCTCCCCACCCATGCAGGGAAGAATTTCCCCCCACTATCCTATGGATAATTCCCACTTTGTGGCAGTGGGAATTGTGTGCCTGTGTCCAGGCCCTGCTCCATCCCTCTGATCACCCTGGGCTCACTGCAGAGCTGCCTGGGCAGGGATGGCAGCAGGGATGGCAGCAGGGACGATCTCAGCACTCACCATGCAAACAGGTTGGCCTGGGGATGGATGTCCAGGGCTGTGAGCCCCTTGACAATCTGCAGCACCTTCATGGACTCGGGCATGCGGGGGTCGAAGAAACGAACGTCACCATTGACACTGAAAACACAGAGCCAGGCTCAGCCTGTGCCCATCCCCGTCCCAAAGCCAGGCTCAGCCTGTGCCCAGTCCCAGCCCAGAGCCCAGGAAATGCAGCTGTAGGGCTGCCCATGAGCCAAACACCTCCATGGGGCACTGGGACAGGGACACACACAGCAGAGTTCCCGCCCAGAGCACATTCTGTGCTGAGGGAACAGCTCGGGAGAGATCCCAAACTGATCCTGAATTGCTGATCCCAAATTGCTGATCCCAAATTTCTGATCCCTCACTGCCTCTCTCACTCCCAGCCCATTTCTCAGTGTGCCCTCCCTGTTCTGGCACACCCAACACGCCCAGCTCCATGGCAGCCCCAAATTCCTGCAGGAAATTGCCTTGGAAAGCTGCAAGAGGGGATGTGCTGGTGCCATCCTTTACTCCAAGAGCCTGGACACCAGGATTTCACTGTGTCCTGTCATTTGTTTTCCTTGGATTTGGCTGTCAGAGGGAACTGGGAGGAACTGGAAGGGAGGTGGCTCAGCTCCACAAGCTGAGCTCCTCTGGGAAGAGCCCAGACCTGCCTTTGGAAGCCCAACATTCCCTCAGAGCTCTGCAGCCCCAGGAGCAGCTCCCAGGCTGGAAGGGCTCTGAGGAGAGGGGACTACCAGCCCTCAGGCCTGGGCACAGGGACCTGACCCCTGGAGCTGCTGGAGGAGCTTATGGAGAGGAAGATTAAAAACTCCAATATGGGAGCTCGACAAATCTGGCAGCTGCATCACATAATCCCCTGTCTGAAAATCTTAATACATTTTTGCTGGCCCATCCCCCGCCTCAGGAATGTTCTGAATCCCAGAAAATTATGTTTTGTTTCCATTTTCTAATCAAGAAAAAGAGGCTCTTTGTGTGCAAACGGTGGCTTTGTGACAATAAATTCTGTTCTGCTGTTCCTTAATGGCCAAATCAGTACCTGCTGCTCTGGCCACGGTGTTTGCCAGGCAGCAGGAATGGATTTAGGGAATTGCACAGGAATCCTGCCCAGGAACTGACAGATGCACCATCCACATCCTCCTCTTGTTCTCCCCCACATGACCCCACGGAGATGTTGGCAGTAAATCCCCCCAGAGAAGATATTCCACACCCAGCTCCTGCTCCCCTCCCCTCCTCCCCACACACCTTGTTGTGCCAGCCCCCTGTTCACCCCCAGACCACACCAAGAACCTTCCAAGGAAAGCTCCACATCCCTCTTTGCCTCCTCTCCAGCGAGTTTGGAGCAGGAGTTAATTACTGAAGCAAATGTCAAACTCAGGAGCTTTACCCTCCCAAGCTGCTGGAATAGCAGGGACAGAATTTAAAGTGAAAACCAAATTGTGAGTGAGGGCAAACAGCTGCAGGGCTGCCAGCCCGGGTACCTGACGCTCATGATGTTGCCCTCGGGGTGTTTCTGCAGGTAAGCCTTCACCACCCAGGCCGTGTGCTCCCGGTAGGTCATGACCCGGCTGGGGACAAAGGGACACCGAAGGGACACGTGTGAGGTGAGCAGGGCACGGGGGAGGCCCCCCGAGGCCGGCGAGGACACAAGGACAGAGTTACCATTCACTGAGGGCCATCCTCCTGTCGAACACTCGGATGGAGCCGTCCCCCAGCCCCGCCACGATCAGGGAGCGGTGAGAGTCACACGACAGGCTGGTGACACAGCTGTCAGCTCCCGTGGGAATGTCCTGCAAGAGGGCAGAACACACAGCATGGCCTGGGCCACCACACACACACACAGCATGGCCTGAGCCA